AATCTTTTTCCTCTCTGCCACTTTCTAAGACTTGATAACACATATGATACTTGATACTGTTCTAGAGCTCACTGACATTCCTTTCATTTTCTTTTTAGTCTTTTTTTCTGTGTGTTTCACTTTGAACGTTTTCTATTTTTATATCTTCAAGTTCACTAGTTTCTTTTTTTTTCCTTTTGCAACGCCTAATTTGTTATTATCCCCATTTACTAAAAATTTTCATCTCAGATATTTTCTTCAACTCTAGATTCTCCATCTGGTCTTGTTTATGCCTTTAATTTCTCTCCTCATTGTGCTCATATTTTCCTTTAAATACATTAACATAGTTATAATAGCTATTCTAATGTCCTCGCTGCTGATTCCATCTTCTCTGCCATTTGGGGGCTTGTTTCTGATGACTAATTTTTTTTTTCTGGTTATTTTCCTGCTTCTTGGCATGTCTAGTAGTGTTTTATTGGAAGGAAAACACCATATTTCATATTGTTAGTTGTCCCCTTTACAGAAAAGGGGATAGTTCTATTGAGATTTGTTACTTCTGTTTCATTTTGATCCTTATGAGACTTGTTTTAAAACTTTTGTTAGGGTGGGTCTAGGGCAACTTTTAACACAGTCTAGATCCTCTGGGATTGGAACTGAATGCCCTAAGAGACTGACAAAGACCCTCCATGGGCTGGTAGGAACTTCCCATTCTCAAAAGATGCCTGGTGCTCTATAAGCTGTGGGAACAACTTAGCTGACAAGTCCCTAGTTGTCCTTTGCCTTCTTTCATGGGGTTAAATTCCATGTGCCTTAGGTGTTAGCAGAATTAAGGGTACTCCAGTGCACAATTCTAAACTCTTTTCCTATGTAGCTCTTTCCTCTCTAGAACTCTACCCCATAAATTCCAGACACTTTAGACTCCCTGAGTTCCAATTTCTGTCTCACCTGAGCAAGGCTACCATACTTTGAGGTTTCCCTCCATCATCTCCAGTCCAGAAGGTGCCTCCAAATAAAAAGCAATTGCAGTTGTTTTTTTCTCATTGATTAGTCTTGTACTGTGTCCAATGTCTAAGAAGAGGGGTTGTGTATGTTTTGTACAGTTTTCAATTATTTAAGTTAAGAGAATAAGTCCAACCCCTCTTACTCTACCTTGGCCAGAAGGCAATTTGGGACAGTCAAGTTTGGGAAGTTTAGAAAGTCCTATGAATGAACAGAACATAGCAGTGATTTTTCTAGGTAGCTAGTAAATCTGTAGGAATGTTTTTCCACTGACTCTCCCTCATCTCTAGAAAAGCTGCCTGTGACTATGGGTATGTGTATACAGCTATTGACTAGCCATTCTTCACTTGAAGGTTTCTAAGTAGAGAGCCACACTTTAGGCTATGGAGGCCTCCAGAAAAACAACCAGGCTAAGTATTATTATAAGAATAATGCCAGAATAAAAACCTTACTCTTGTAGCCCTAATTTTCCTTAGGTAAATCTCCCAAATGTTTAGAGGCAAGATCTTTTATTTTTTTATCTGGGGTTAAAATTCTGGGCTGCCCAAAGCACTGAGGATAGAAAAGAGGTGGGAAGAAAAAAAGAAATAGACTGAGAAAGGCTTTCCTAAACACACTTTAAGTTAAATGTTTCTAGCTTTCTTTCTTTCTTTTTTTCTTTCTTTCTTTCTTTCTTTCTGGTCTATTGTATTTTTTTGAAACTCCTTATTCTCTGATGATCCCTTTACATTATACATTTTTCTAGGCCCATTATTTTAATGTTATATTTTCAGTGTCAGAGAAAGAATGCCAGCAAATAAATGTGTTCTCCCTGCCAGTTTTAATTGGCATTTAATTTAAATGCCCTATTAATGTTGTAGTTATGTTATAAATAGTCCCATACTATATTTTTGGTTGGAACAAATATCCTCTTTCAGATTTTCCTACCGGTATTTTCATATTTTGTCTTCAAAATAAAATTTAGAAGTAGCTATTCAAGTTTTACTATTTTTAATTCTGTAGGGTTTTTTATTAAACTGCATTTAATCTATTGATGTAGTAGAGAGAAATAGAATGTTTACATATTGAGTCTCCCTGGAACATCAAACATTGTTCAGGCCATTCTTTTATATCCGCATTTTAATCCTAAGTTTCCATAGCTTGTTTTCTATTGTAAATACAATAGCTTCACACTTTCTAATTGTCATATTTTAAAAAAAAACTATCTTTTTTGCAGATCATTATATACATCCTGTTTATTGGCCTATTTTATTATTTCTAATATTGTTCAATAATTTCTTTTTACATAATCGATAAGTAACTATATCATCTGCAAGTAATGATATTGTATTTCTTTTTTTAATATTTATTCCCCTCAGGAATTTTTTGTCTTATTGCATTAACTGGATTTTCCAATAGTGTTAGAGTTATTGATGGCTCCAGCTTAATGTTAGTTACAATTCTGATAGATATCCTTTATAAAGTAAGAAAGGTTCTTCCTAATCCTCACCTCCTAAGAGGTTTTAAGTGGAAAGGGTATTTAATTTTGTCAAATGGCTTTTCAGCATCTATTGGGAAAAATGTATTTTTTCCATTTTAATATATTAAGTTAATTATAATAATAGATCCAATAATGTCAAGCTATCATATAGCCATAGAATAATCAATCTTATTTTATGATCATTTAAAATGTGGATTCCTTTGGCTAGTACTTGATTCTGTTTTTTTAATGAGTGAAAAATATTATTTTCCTTCCCAGTTATCCTTGTTCAGTTATATTAGCCTCATAAAATAAATTGAAACTCTTTTCATATTTTTTCTATGACCAAGATAATATAAATAACAAAAGGTTGGGGCACTTCAGTGGCTCAGTTGGTTAAGTGTCCAACTCTTGACTGTAGCTCAGGTCATGATCTTAGGGTCATGAGATGGAGCCCCGAGTGGGCCTCCGCACTCAGTGCTGCGTCTGCTTGAGATTCTTTCTGTCCCTCTCCCTTTGCCCTCCTCCACTTGCACTTGTGCACTCTCTCTCTAAATAAACAAGCGAAATTTTTAAAAATGAAATCAGTGGGGCGCCTGGGTGGCTCAGTGGGTTAAGCCGCTGCCTTCGGCTCAGGTCATGATCTCAGAGTCCTGGGATCGAGCCCCGCATCGGGCTCTCTGCTCAGCGGGGAGCCTGCTTCCTCCTCTCTCTCTGCCTGCCTTTCTGCCTGCTTGTGATCTCTCTCTGTCAAATAAATAAATAAAATCTTTAAAAAAAAAAATAAATAAATAAAAATAAAAATGAAATCAGTGACCATCATAACTAATTTATGCCCCTTAAATCAAGTGTGTGTGTGTGTGTGTGTGTGTGTGTGTGTGTTCCTCTGTTATCATTTCAAATATCTTAGTTTTTCCACAGACTTCACTATTCCTATAACTGGTTTCTGTGTTTGCTTTTTTGTAAATTGACACAATGCATTTATGTAAACTCTTAATAAGCTCTGCCAATTGTCATACTGTTTCTTACACCCTCCAGTAAGGTATTAGATGAGCATTCCCATCTATGAATATTATATGAAGTGTGTATTGCCATTAGAGGCACATCAATAAAAATTAATTATAGCTAACAAAGGTAAAAGTGTAAATGAGCAATTATTTAGATTTTAATAAAATTTGAAAATATATATCTCACTGCAAAAGAATGAATACATTTATAAGACTTATTCAGTAACACTTATCAATATATATGACTTTTATTCAGTTATGTGCACCTGGTGAAATTATTCCTAAAGACAAATGTATTCCCTCTGGGTCACATTACATCCTGGATATTGTCTTCAAGATGTTCAATCTACATTGTCTTTGCATAGGAAATAAAGATTTTAAATATTCTTTTAGAAAAAAGTAAATAGTATGAGATATAAAAATAAATAAATAAAATATTAAAAATAAAATAAATTATATAAAAATAAATAAATATATATTGGAGACATTCCCCCCCAAAGTATGTATGTATGTGTATACATATGTGTGTGTGTAATAGATATATATTACAACAGTAAAAATTTTCTGTACCATCTGTAATCCTTTTAAAAGCCAGATTCAGCTGAATTGACATAAATCCCCCCTCCAAAAAAAAAAGCAGGTTGAAAAGAAGAGTATATAGCCTTTATATATTCTGATTTCTAGCTCTGAGAAGTCTAGAATGGCAAAAGGACAAGTACTAAGGAAATCACCATGGATCAAAAATAACTTCCCCAATATATTACATTAATAGAGATAATAAATTTCCTTTTTTAAATACTACCACTACCACCCCCAATTGAATAAGGATTGTTAATAAAGACCTTACTGTAAATTACAGTATGTCTGTAAATCATATCTTTTAAGAACAGGTATTTTTTAAAGTGGTAGGGCAAATGAAAAAGAGATAATCTGGGAACAAGAGAATAAGACCTAGAGGGAGATATTCCAGGAGAGGCAGCTTTGGAGAGCTACAAATGCACATGACAGGACACCAAAGACAAACATCATCCACCTTGTAACTTTGTATTTTTATAAGATACTCAACTAAAAGGGCATTCCCCATTTTCCCTTCCTCCAACTCATCCTAGGGCTGCCACTGGCTAATACGAAGTTTTACACAGGCCATAAATAGAAGGCATGAAACCACTTAAAAGGAGACATTTACCTCACTCTATAAAGTGTATACATTAATCTATGCAATATGAGTGGATCCATATTTCTTTTTGATGTTAAGAATGCTTTAATGGGCTGTGACACTTGGATAAGCTGTCATTCCAATTTTCAGATGCCTCCAGGAAGAAACACAAGGTAAGAACTTAATGTGCTCTTTCTATCCCACCAGCCCCAGCCTTCACCCTGGCTTTCCAAGCTTGCAATTCTTCAACATTAGGACTAAGCTTTCAAATGATAGACAGCACTTTAGGATTTTATGGAAGGTCTAAACATTATTATATTCTCCCCAGAACACATATCTAAACAAAGATCAATAACCATATATTAAATTATTAACAAATACTGTTTATTTGTAAAGTAACAGTACTAAAACAAGGAAGAATATTAGAATTTCAGGCTTAGATATCTTTTAAATGTTTGAGATATGTTCCACATCTTGTGTTTTTTGCAAATAGTTAGCACTCGATAATAAATTATTGGTAGTCACAACCTAGAAAGCTATTTGTCTTCCAGATGCTAATAGGACTGTACTGAAGCAGTCTTGTAGTTCTTCATATTTAGTGCCCTAAAATTGGAAAATAAATGCATATTTAATTTTTTAGATGCAGGTCATATATCTGTATAATCTTATAAAAAAAGTTTTGTAATAAAAAATTAATCACCCAAAACCAAACTCTCTCACCAGATTAAAAAGTATCACTTAAAATATAAATTAAGAAGGAAAAATTGGTTTGGAGGACCAATTTTAAATACCACCCAGAGAGAATGCGTGTGTGAGAGCAGGGGGAGCAGAGGGGCGGGCAGGGGAGGAGAGGCCAAAGGGGGAGAGAGAGAGAGAATCTTAAGCAGACACCAGCCTACAAATAAATAATTAGGGTAAGGGGTGCTTGGGTGGTTCAGTCAGTTGAGCATCTGACTTGATTTTGGCTGGTCATATGATCTTGGGGTTGTGGGATGGAGCCCTGCATCAGGCTCTGCACTTGGTGCAGTCTGCTTGAGATTCTCTCTCTCCCCTCCCTCTGCCTTTCCCCCAGTTTGCATGCTGTCTAAAATAAATAAATAAATAAATAAATAAATAAATAAATAAATAAAATCTTTTTAAAAATGAATAAAACTGGGGTAAAAAAAGCTAAAACTTGCTTTTGGATAATATTTACGATAATATAAAAAGTATCAATAAACTCAAAACTGCTAAACATAAGATAAACTTCTGATTATCCAAAAGAGCAATCAGTTATTCTTTTCTCTGCTACAAACATATTTATCATAGAACTTTCTCAGGTCTGTTCTATGGATAGAAAAGAACACTCAAAAAACCTGCAACTGCCCCCTCTCCCCCACCCCCGGCAAAAAAATCCCATCTATTTGAGGGTAAGTGTGGTGAAGAAAATTCTAATTTTACCCTCTGGTTCTATATTACATAGATAGAGTTGGGCAGAGTACTGAAAGATAAGAGGCTTGCCAAAGGATAGAAATCAAAGGACATGAGAGAAGGACTCCATATATTCCCATTTCCACCAACTAGTCCCTTAGAATATTATGCCTTTAGACAACAGATTACATAAATAATGATGAGCAGTCTTATTTTGGGGATAGGATAGTAAGATTTATATTACAATCACTGTTCACAAGTGATACAAATATATTGAGTTATTTTAATAAAAGAAAAGAATATGAATTTGGTGTCCTTTGCCTAATCTAATGTAGTTAGAAATATGTTGAAGTTAGAAGTTGAAGTGGAAGTTAGAAATATGTAAATTAGCTTAATTTGTAATAAAACTTTTTCAGTGAATAGATACAAAGGTAATCGAATCAATTCTTCCACTTATTCATGATCTTGGACACAAACAAAGAAGGAATGATGGATTGTCCTTTTCTAATTTACATTTTGAACTCCTGAGAACTTTTTTTCAGTCTTGAGAGTGCTCAAACCTTGGGTGAAATTGAACTTTTAAGATACATTAATAATATGCTTTTCTTTAAAGTATTATAAAGTGATGCTGAGAGCTTTTTTAACTAACCAAAATATTTCCTAGAAGATTTCACAAAAGATTATTTCAAACTTAAGAAGTCTTAAGTGTCATTAGAATTCCTCATAATTACTGAGAGCCTGAAGCCCACATAAAGATAACAATTTAACAAAGATCAAAAACACCCCTTGAAAAACAATGTTAGCCTGTACTGCTAACTGAACTACAAATATCTAAACAGCCTCAAACAACTCATAGTAAGATATTAAAGATTTGCTTTAAAAATTATGAAAAGAATAGTTTATACAGATAAATTGGGCTTTTTCAATTAGAAATTTCAGAATATGGGAGAAAACTTCTACAAGGGAGAGCTTCTACATAAAAGGAGCTGAGATATTCAAAGACACCCAGATATGTCATTGTTTAAAGTATGTATAAATAAGAGATATTAGGGATCAAAAAGTCAAAAACAATTTTTCTTAGTTTACAGGCTAAGATAACATATTACTACCTTTTGACATTCAAAGTCATTATACTTTCAACCGGTCTGCTCTTTGGTCCACCTGGTGGGTGGAAAATCTTAGCATCTTTGCTGGAAATCTGGGTTGCCAATTTAACCACATAAGGGTCAGCAGAATGTGAAGGGTAAGGGTCAAATGTTCCTGCTTTCATTCCACCAGCCTACAAATAAAAATGAGACAATCTAATGTAGTTTTGTAAACTGCTTCTAACAAAATTAGATTTTGAGGAAGTTCAAATATATTTGTGTATTGTCTACAGAGTTGGTTTTACATTTAAAGAAAGTTGTCTATACAGACATACCTTGGAGATACTGCGGGTTCAGTTCAAGACAATTGTAATGATGTGAATATCACAAAAAGTAGGTTAAATGATTTTTTTGGTTTCCCAGTACCTTTAAAGTTATATTTACACTATGCTACAGTCTATTAACTGTGTATAGCATTGTGTCAAAAAGAACAATGCACATACCTTAATTTAAAAATTCTTTACTGAGGGTGCCTGGGTGGCTCAGTGGGTTAAAGCCTCTGCCTTCGGCTCAGGTCGTGATCCCAGGGTCCTGGGATCGAGCCCCATATCGGGCTCTCTGCTCAGCAGGGAGCCTGCTTCCTCCTCTCTCTCTCTCTCTGCCTGCCTCTCTGCCTACTTGTGGTCTCTGTCAAATAAATAAATAAACAAAATCTTTTAAAAAATAATAATAAAAATAAAAATAAAAATGCTTTACTGCTAAAAGCAAAAAATACTAAATGTCATTTGAGCTTTCAGTGAATCATTCTTCCCATCCAAGTACTAACCAGGCCCGACCCTGCTTAGCGTCCGAGATCAGACGAGATCGGGCGCGTTCAGGGTGGTATGGCCGTAGACCAGTGAATCATTCTTTTTTGCCGATGGAAGTTCTTGCCTTGATGCTAATGGTTGCTTACTGACCAGGTGGTGACTGCTGAAGGTTAGCGTGACTGTGGGAATTTCTTAAAATAAGACAGTCAAGTTTGCCATATTGACTGACTCTTCCTCTCATGAATGATTTCCCTGTAACATGCAATCTGTTTGACAATGTCTTACCCACAGCAGAGAACTTCTTTCAAATTGGAGTCTCTCCTCTCAAACCCTCCTGCTGCTTTATCAACTAGGTTTATGTCATATTCTAGATCCTTTGTTGTCATTTCAACGATCTTCACAGCATCTTCATCAGGAGTAGATACCATCTTAAGAAACCACTTTCTTTGTTCAGACATAAGAAGCAACCCCTCATCCACTAAACTTTGATCATGAGATGGTAGCAGTTCAGTCCCATCTCTGGACTCCTCTTCTGATTCCAGTTTTCTTGCTGTTTCTACCACATCTGCAGTTCCTTCCTCCCCTGAAGTCTGAACCCCTCAAAGTCATCCATGAGGGTTGGAATCAACTTCTGGACTATTAATGTTGATATTTTGACCTCTTCCCATGAATTATCGATATTCTTAATAGCATCTAGAATGGTGAATCCTTTCCAGAAGGCTTTCAAGTGACTTTGCCCAGATCCATCAGAGGAGTCGCTATCTATGACAGCTATAGCCTTATGATATGTATTTCTTAAATCATAAGACTTGAAAGTTGAATTTATTCCATGATCCATGGGCTGCTGAATAGATGTGTTAACAAGCATGAAAACAACATTAATCTCATTGTATATCGCCATCACTCTTGGGTGATCAGATGTACTGTCAATCACCAGTAATATTTTGAATCTTTTTTTTTCTTTTTTGAGCAGTAGGTCTCAACTGTAGCCTTAAAATATTCAGTAAACCATGTCATAAACAAATGTGCTGTCATCCAGGCTTTGTGGTTCCCTTTACAGAATACAGACAAGAGTAGATTCATCATAATCATTTAAGGGCCCTACAATTTTGGTTATGGTAAGTGGGCACTGGATTCAACTTAAAGCCACCAGCTGTGTTAGCCCCTAACAAGAGAGCCAGCCTGTCCTTTGTAGCTTTGAAGCCAGGCAGTGAACTCTCCTCTCTAGCTCTTGAAGTCATAGATGGTATCTTCTTCCAATAAAAGGCTGTTTCATCCACCTTAAAAATCTGTTGCTGAGTGTAGCCACCATCATGAATTCTCTTAGCTAGGTCTTCTTAGCTGTAACTTGCTGCAGCTCTATCAGCACTTGTTGCTTCACCTTACACTTTTAATAAGTTACGGAGATGGCTTCCTTCCTTAAACCTCATGGACCAACTTCAGCTAGCTTCAACTTTTCTTCTGCAGCTTCTTTACTTCTCTCAGCCTTCAAAGAAGAGAGGTGGGGCCTTGCTTTGACATAAGGAAATGTTGAGGCAGCCTTGATCTTCTAACCACTAAAACTTTCTCCATCAGCAAGAAGCTGGTTTTGCTTCCTTATCATTTATGTGTACTGGAGTAGCACTTTTTTTTAAAAAGATTTTATTTATTTATTTGACAGAGAGAGATCACAAGTAGGCAGAGAGGCAGGCAAAGAGAGAGGAAGGGAAGCGAGCTCCCTGCTGAGCAGAGAGCCCGATACGGGATTCGATCCCAGGACCCTGAGATCATGACCTGAGCTGAAGGCAGAGGCTTTAACCCACTGAGCCACCCAGGCGCCCTGGAGTAGCACTTTTAATTTCCTTCAAGAACTGTTCCTTTACATTCACAACTTGAATATCTGTTTGGCACAACATTCCTAGCCTTTCAGCCTATCTCTGCTTTTAATATGTCTTAATCATTTCTAGCATGTGATTTAAAGTGAGACATGCAGGGCACCTGGGTGGCTCTGTCCATTAAGCTTCCGACTCTTGATTTTGGCTCAGGCCATGATCTCAGGTTCATGAGATTGAGCCCCTCATAGGGCTCTGCACTCAGCAGAAAGTCTGCTTGAGATTTCTCCCTTCCTCTCCTCTGTCCCTTCTCTCTCCAACTCTGTCTCTTTCTCCCTCTCCAAAAAAAATAATAATAAAGTGACACATGCAACTCCTCCTTTCACATGAACACTATTGCAGGGTTATTAATTGGCCGAATCTCAATATTGCTGGTTCTCGGGGAAGGGGGAATCCCAAGGGAGAATGGCCAGTCCATGGAGCAGTCAGAACACACGACATTGATCAGTTAAGTTCACTGTCTTACATAGGCGGTATTCCCGTTACCCCACCCCAAACAATGACAATAGTAACAGCAAAGATCACATTGATCACAGATCACCATAACAAATATACTAATAGTAAAGAAGTTCAAAATATTGCAAGAAGTATTAAAATGTGACACAGAGACACAAAGTAAGCAAATACTGTTGGGAAAATGGTGTCAGGAGACTTGCTCAAAACAGGATTGCCACAAACCTGCAATTTGTTTAAAAAAAAAAAAAAACCAGTATCTGTGAAGCACAGTAAAGCAAAGCCCAATAAAACTAAGTTTGCCTGTACTGTTCAAATACCAGCAGTCTCCCTGCCACCAATTTTATGGGGCAAGACACTGTAATTTCCAAGAGTTCTCTATTAAAATGCAAATGTTTACAAAAAGGTAATATTCCAAACTCCTGTCAAGTATTAATATTTTAGTAAGAGTTTACCAGATGAGGCGATCATCTAGTTAAGGAGTGAACCTATTACTGAGGGAATAAGACTTAGGTCAAATATATTTTGATACAGAAAGGAGCTGGGGGTTCAGAACCAGAGGATGCTCAGAGAAGAGGCCAAAGGTAAGATCTGTCCAACTGGGAGGTTGACATAACATTAGTTTATTAAATATCAGTCAATGATGAAAAAGATACAAAAAATAAAAACTTTAAAAAATAAGGAATAGTACATAGAAACAGAAAGAGAGGAAAATGTGATCTCTTTTATACTTTTTTATAGTCTACTGAGAGAAGTCAATCAAAATTATTTTTTGACCTGTGCATAAAAGAAATAATTTCCTTGACTTTTTAAGCTGATTTGCCACAATTTTAATCTTTTTATTATATATAGCTACTAAGAAAACTCTACAGAATCATAATAACCCATTTAAGTAGGCATTCTTTATCTTACAGTATCTAAGCCAAATATACATGAAAATTAAATTAAAAGATATAATTGTAATATTTCAAGTTTTCCACTTGAGGACACATAGATTGTTTTGAATCTATGCTAACATCTACTCATAACAAAATAGATCAAAGCATACAAAAAAAAAGGACAGACCAGTTACACTTAAAGTTATTGATGCAAAAATACTTAAAATATTAACAAATAAAATAAACTAGTACACTACAAGATTAATACAACGTGGCTAAGTGGGATTCATCCCAAGAAATCTATTATTATTATTCACCTTATAACAAGTCAAAGAGAGAAAAAAAATAGTCTAAGTAGATTACACCAAAACATTCAATATAATTCTAATTACATTCCTGATTTATCCCTATTTTTGGCATCTACAAATATGAAACACTAGAAAAAATTCAAGTAATTCAGTAAATTTAAGAGTAAGGCAAAGGATGTCTATCACTGCTAACCTAAGCTATTGGACAAGAACATGACTTAAGAGCTATAAATACTGGAAAGGAGGGAGCAAAATTATTTGTAGATAATGTAATCATACATCTGAAAATCTAAAGAGAATCAAGTAATACCCATTAGAACATAAGAAAACTTAATGAAATAGCCAATTACCAAATATTTTATAAAGATAAATTACATAATGGAATATATGATAGGGAAAAACACCTGTTGACTAGAGCCTTAAAATACAATAAAATACAGGGTATGTAAACCTGTGTGACGTAAAATATAGAATTCTACAAGGTAACTAAAGGTTTTTATAAGTAGTTTATTTCTAGATGAGAAGATTCAAATTATAAATATGCTAATACATCCAAAAATCTGAAGATTTAACTTTTGAGCAAAATACCAAACATCTTCTTTCTCCCCAAAGCTTCAGAAAATAACCTCAAAGTTCTAGAGAGTATATGTGGGAGAATAGTCAATGTAATTTTTTTAAAGAGTAGCAAGAAGAAACTAGACCATCCCAAATCAAAATGTAATAGTAATTAAAAGTAGCTTGGTATAGGTAGAAATAAACATCAAACAAAATGGAAATTGAAGGGAAAAATGGGAATTTTGACTTGACGAGGGTGCCATTTCAAAGCAGTGGTATTAAAAATTATTCTATCAGTGATATTAGGAATGATTGTCTTTTTAAAAAACCAATTTTCTTGAAGTCTAATTCATGTACAGTAAACTACCCATTTAAAGTTACAATTCTATGACTTTTGAGAGTTGTATATACCCTTGAAACCATGACTGCAATCAAGATACAGAGCACATCCTCCCCCAAAGTTTCCCCCTGCCTTAAAAACTGGATTTTAAGGGGTGCCTGAGTGGCTCAGTAAGTTAAGCGGTTAAGCGTCTGCCTTCAGCTCAGGTCATGATCCCAAGGTCCTGAAATCAAGCCCAGCTCCCTGCTCAGCAAGAAGTCCGCTTTCCCTGTCCCTCTGGCCCTCCTCCCACTTGCACACACTCTTTCCCTCTCAAATAAATGAATAAAATCTCTGAGGGGAAAAAAGAAACCCTGGATTCTGAGAAAGACAAAACCTGAATCCTTACCTTGCTCATGTCAAAACATATTTCAAATGAAGATTTAAATGCAAAAGTGTAACACTAATAGAAGGAATAAAAAATGTATATTTCTATAACATTGGTGGTAAGGAAAGGGATTCTGAGAATGACATAAAACTCAGCACAAAGAATTGATAAATTTGACCACATCAAATTATCAAATTTCTGAATAGCACAAAATACCATAAATGAAGTAAAAGATTCAAGACTAAAAAAAATTATTTTCAACACAAATGACAAAATATCATTAACACATTAAAAGATCTTATAAATCAATTCGAAAAAGACAAATATCCCAGTAGAAAATCTGCAGGGAAAATGAACAGGCAATGCACAGAATACTAAGGTTTGTAAACTATAAGAAGCATTTTTATTTTTATTCACACTTGTAAACCTCAGCAGAGTAGGAAAGAATTCATTTTAATCACCATTTCACAAACTAAAAGATGGTCTGGACTTTCGTGGTTTTGTGAATAACTATGCCTAAGATCTAGAGAGGCACTGAGAAAATTCATTGTAAACGAAATACACTTAAAGTCATAAATAATTATTTCAAGAACTCCATTATTCCCTGTACTAGCCAAGCTTTGTGATTTTTCATAATTTTGTTAAAATAAATTTCACAATTCTTACTGTGCATAATAACAATGTGAATAATAGAAGTTTGTTATTTACATGGCTAATAAAATGATTTGACAAAAAGAAACAACAGTTCTTTATAATGTGTAATAATTTCTAATTAAAAATTTTTTAACTTACCTTTTTACCTGGAGAAGAGGGCTTAAAGGGCTGTGAAAGTAATTCTTTTTTCTCTGTTTTTTTAATGGGTGGTAACGTTTTCTCAAACGAATAAGGATTGGTATCAAAATATTCCCTTGGGTAAAGGTTTAACTTGAAAGGTGTTCCTTTAACTAAACGGTGATGTTCTTCATTTTCCTTCTGTAAATCAGAGTTTGAAATTATGTAGCAAATGATTCAAATTAGCAGTAACAGTTAAATTTTTCTTTTATATTTTAAAATAAGCATGTAGATTTTTTAAATATATACTGCTAGGTTCACTTTAAAACATTGATTTGTTATGTTTTGTTTCTATGATACAAAAGATACCACCTCTTCCACACCACAGTGGTAAGGATAACCATTCAATTTGTTCTTTTGCGCAGTGTTTCTCAAATTTTAGTCTTCATAGGAAATTCTTGATAATTTATTTAAAATACAAATTATAAGCTCTTCTCTCAGAGATTTCTGATCCTCTTGGTCTGCTAGACGATCCTCAAATCTGTAGTTTTGTCAGTCACCCCAGGTGATGCTGATGCAGGTACCATAAAGCAATGCTTTAAAGATCACCTTTTGCTAGAATATTGTGTTTGTTTTACCCACCCCTGCCCTACAGTATTCAGTTGAGTACAAATCAGCACATATATGTGAGTAAACAGGGGGTGCCTGGGTGGCTCAGTGGGTTAAGCCTCTGCCTTCGGCTCAGGTCATGATCTCGGGGTCCTGGGATCGAGTCCCACATTGGGCCCTCTGCTCAGTGGTGAGTCTGCTTCCTCCTCTCTCTCTCTCTGCCTCCCTCTCTGCCTACTTGTGGTCTCTGTCTGTCAAATACATAAATAAAATCTTTTAAAAAAATTATATATGAGTAAACTACTCAAAGGCAAAAAAAAAGAACTACCTTAAAAGACTAGAGGTAACAGTGCCTGGCTCTTACCACAGGGCTGGCAACAGTTCTGGTTCCATCAGCTATACGGAAAACATGGCTGCCAGGGCCCAGGGTAGAGCATGCAGAAAGGGGTGACCTCAGTAGCAGGGGTAATTAGCCCTAGATTGAGCATTGCTCCTATCCCACCTAACAAATCTTAAAAGTGAGACCTGAAAAAAATCCAACGGTTTCCAAGTCATTTCACTGAATCCCAGAACAAAGCCCAAGAATTTTTATAATATAAGAAAATATACAGCACTCAACAAAGTAAATGTCACAGTGCCTGACATCCAATCAAAAATCACTAATAATACAAAGTAGAAAAATATGACCTCAAAGAAGAAAAACCAGTAATTCAAAATTAACCAAGAACTGACATAGATGTTAGAATTAACAGAAAAGGAAATTGAAACAATAATCAAACTGTATACTAACTATAGAGACATATAAGATATATTAAAAAAAAAAAACCAATGAAGTAGAACTTCTGGAGAACAAAAACACAATGTGTGAGATTAGAAATACACACATGAAAGCATACCGGATCTTGCAAAAGAATAGATTAGTGACCTTAAGGACATAGAAAAAGAAACAATTCAAAATGAAATACAGAAAAGGAAAAAGAGAAGTAAAACAAACAAAAAAAAAGCAAACAGAGCACTGATAATCTGTGGGACAATTTCAAGAGATCTAATGCATATGTAATAGGGGTCCCTGAGAGAGAAGAGAAAGATAAAAGAACAGAAAAAATAACTGAAGAAATAATAGCTGAAAATATTCCAACTTTGATGAAAACTATAAACCCTCAAATCTAAGAAGCTCAATAAACTCCAAGAACAAGAAGCAAGTTGAAAACACTACCAAAGCACATCATAATCAATTTACTCAAACGAGTAACATACAATTCTTAAAAGTAGCCAAAGAAGAGAGGACAGTAAGTACATACAGAAGAACAACAAAAATCAGCATGACAGCAGATTTCTTGTCAGAAACAAGCAAGAGTGCAACAGGGTAATCTCTTTAAAATTCTAAAAAATATATAAAATTTCTGACTTATAAATAATAAGTTCTGAAAATAAGAACAGAACTTTACTATTAGGAGAAAAAAGTATTTTATGCACATAAAGTTTAGGATAAAAGACTAATTACTGGGGCGCCTGATGGGCTCAATCGGTTAGGTGACTGCCTTGGGCTCAGGTCATGATCCCAGGGACCTGGGATCGGGCCCTGAGTTGGGCTCCCTGCTCAGTGCGGAGTCTGCTTATCCCTTCCCCCTCCCCCAGTTCATGCTGTCTCTCTCTCAAATACATAAATAAAATCTTAAAAAAAAAGACTATTGAGTCACTGATAAAACTGCCTTGTGTATATTTATATGTGTTATTACTATTCCTACAGATGAAAAGTAGCTTATACATAATTTTGTGATAATCCAAACATAGCAACAAAAATGCTTGTTAAATGACTAAGGTTTCTGCCCAATTTAATAGAAAACTTTTCCTGGGTTTGGACACACCCCTTTGCAAAAATGGCCACTATCCTTCTATCTCGTGGCCCTACTGCTGCTTAAAGTCACCACGGAAAAATTGTTGAAGACTGCATGCCTAAAACAACAACAACAAAAACAACTAATAAAATGTTGCCATTTAAGTTCTATTGTTTAATGTCCAAACGAATTTGACTTTTCATTAATGCCAGTTTCCTCTAAGTTATATTGAAATTGTTAAATTATGTTGATAGTGCTCCAAAATTTATAAGGTTTCCCCTACTCATTCCCATGTAGGCTTTGTCTATATAAGTGACTATGTTTCATTCAAAGTCAAATATTATATAAAATGAGTGTAGAGGCATATACCAGTACATTTAGCTTTTATTTCTATCATTAAATAGAGTACTTTCTTCCCATCCTATCACTCTCTCTTTTCTGTAGGTATTCATCCATTCTCTACCTTTGACTTTCTCCTTTCTCCCTATCACTCCTGCATTGCATTAATTGATCATAATGGCTCGACTAGGCCACAGGTATTGCCACTACTGCATTAGCTACAAGATACTACGGTGTGGTGGGAATATGGCTAAGGGTTGGGACATGGCTCTTCTACTCAAAATAGGACATAGCTGATCAGGCCAAGTTAACTGAAGTCTCATAGCTAGTTGAGAGAGATATAAGGTAGATGTGGTAAACTAAACCAGGAGATAAAAGCTCATCCTGGGAAGAGTGAGAAGATATATAGCAAGACATGGATATCCAATATCAAAAAGGTAAAATTATCACAAATCATAAGTATCAGTCTACCATTGCCCTAGTAAAACAAACACCGATAAAATAAAACAATGCATAATTAGATCACAAATGAGTTCTCTAGTTCAACTAAGAAAGATTGAAGAAAGTTAAAAATAGATTATTTTACCTTATAATTTAGTTTCGGTGCATTGTAGAAATCAGCAGAGTGTGAAAACTGCTTACCAATGGTAATATTTGCATAGCTAAGGAAGGAAATTAAGTAATGGTGATTTTAGGATTCAGAAATTTAAATTTAAGTTCAAAACAAATTATATTAAAGTATGAAAAACATCTTACCCATATCCAGTTCCTTTCTTTCCTGGGTTTGTGTATAAATTCTTTCCAGGTGCCTCATATTTTTCTCTGGGTTTTGACTGTGCACTGAAGAATGGCACAGGACCACCTAATGTGCCATAGTAGCTTCCTAAACCACATCTTAAATACAGTTTTTTAAAAAGAAGGCAAATTAATACAGCAAATTTTGTGTTATACATATTTGATCACAATTTATTTTAAAAATGAGTGAAAAAGGAACAAAATATATGCAACGGAACTGACTTGCCTAACTTTGGTAAGAAAAAAGCAACCAATGTTTTTAGTTTTTAATTTCCCCCATTTTCCAAAGTCACGATTTTCAGGTGAGATAACGTTTTATTTTTATGCTTATTTTAAATGTTCCATATAAACAAAATTTCATAATCTCTAGGAAGTGAAAATAGTTTCCATTAACTCATAAGATTACAGCTTTACTAACCTCAAAAAAATAGGACAATTAAGCACAAAATTGGCCTTCAACCAATCCTCACCACAAATTCTACAGACATTACAGAATGTACATTAATGTCATATCATAAAGCTTAGCTATATAATATGATACACCAGACTACATGATTTTCTTTGTTTAGTGGTTTAAAGGTAAGAAAAAAATGGACCTTCACATTGATAACTGTCACAACTAAAATACTGTTAAACTCCATGCATGTATCTTCACCATGATTTTTAAATAACATCTTCATAAATTATCTTCTTTATCAAAAAAGGGCTTCTCTTAATTTTATAATTTTTATGTATACATTTTAAAAGTTTTTACAAAGCAAAAAAAAAAAAAAAAGAGTAAAGGGCACAGATGACCCAAGGTAGTTTTTTCAAGGTTTTGAAACAAATGTATTTGCATTATTTAGCTGGCTTTTATTACATGAACTAATAGAGAGCAATGACATAATCAAAAATCTAATGAGATGAGGATCTCCTTAATCAGAACTACCTGTCAACCTGTATCACCCAATATAACTGTCTCCACCTCCAAGACAAGTTTAAAAGTTTAAAAAATGAATCATACTTCTTAAGTCCTCCAGAATAATACACAATTTGAGCTAGAGTAGAGAAAGGGACAGGAGACATATTTATGACTTTTCCCCAAACACTTACGGCTTTTTATCTCCACTACTAGGGAGGAAGGCTTTGCCTAGATTTTTTTTGGCTTCTTCCATCATATGCCGCCTCCTCACTTGGTTCAGACTTACATAACCTTCACCTTCAAATATCCTTACAAAATGGGGATCAAAATAACCAGCCTGGAGATTCGACATTTCTTTGGATCCCCCAGGTAGCATCTGTTTATTTTTGCTTGCAGCCTCATTAAAAGGTCCTTTAAAAATAAATTAGGAATATCATAATTTTGAGCTCACTAATAATTAAAGAACATGAAAAATAACTGAGAAAACGTTCGAACTGTGGGATTGGGCCCAGTGTGTTTTGAGCTCTAAATGCTGTCTCGGAAAGTCCACTGAAAGCTCTGTGTTAGAGTACATTCACAGTAAGACCTAAGAGGTTTCCATTAAATCATTTTATTAATTAGGTCCTGGTTATAGACTCTGAATTTTAGAGCTGAAAAAGACCCTGAAAATCATTTAATCCAATGTTTCCCCATCCATAAACTAGAAAACACTGTGTGAGATTATCAGTAAGTACTTGTTGGGGGCGGGGTGCCGGGAGTTTAGGTTGAATGGAAAGGTGTTCCATACTCAAACTGAGCAATTCCCCTCCTGGATACATACTCAACACACATGAGGTTTATACTCACTAAAAGACGTGAACAAGAATTTTCATAGCTGTTTCATTCATATTAAAAAACAAGTAACTACTCAAATGTGCATCAACAGGAGAGCAGATAAATGTGATATATTTATACAACAAAATAGTAGTAGCCCAGCAATATTTTTTAAAGGCTGTTTTTATAACAGCCTTTTTTTAAAAAGCCTTATTTACATTTAGAGCTTCTTTTAAAATTTAGATCTAGGAGCCCTCAATTTGGGAAGTCCTTCCGTAATGTGAAAATTGTTTTGAAGTGCAAACAATCCTTGAATCAGCAAGTTATTTAAATATGAGTTTGTATCACTGGTTTTTTAATTGAAATTTTTAAAAAGGTAATATATTCACATGGTTCTAAATCCAATAACATGTTTTTACAATAAATTTTCCTCCCACACTCATACATCCAGTTCCTCTCCCACAGGAAATCATGGTATTTTGTTTTCCAGAGAATGTTTAAACATGTCCCAATGAATATTTTCTTTTCCATCTTTGATGCTTAGTATAATATATAATAAACAAGTCTGCACCTTGATTTTTTTTATTTAACAATATATCTTGGAGATGTTTCATGTCAGTGTATTCTTTTTGTGACAAAAGAGTCACTGAATAACCAAAAATTTAACTAAGTCATTTAAAAGGTTTATTTACTTTAGCTCTTTATTATTTATGACTTTTCTAAAAATCCCTTAGCTATTCACTTAGTATTTTACTTTTCAGGAAAGTAAGTCATGTATGGCCTTTTGGCATGCAAATGTAAATGCTGCTTGCATAAGAGAGTGTCCCATCTGAGAAACAAATTATTCTGCACCTTCAGAAAGAAGTAAAATTACCTAGGACAGAGAATATACCAAGGAAGAGTATCCCAGTGAAAGGAGCTTCCTGATCTTATAAAATTAAGTTCTCTCTTAACTCTTGAAATTTTACAATTTGGGGGCGCCTGGGTGGCTCAGTGGGTTAAGCCTCTGCCTTCGGCTCAGGTCATGATCTCAGGGTCCTGGGATCAAGCCCCACATTGGGCTCTCTGCTCAGCAGGGAGCCTGCTTCCCCATCTCTCTCTGCCTGCCTCTCTGCCTACTTGTGATCGCTCTCTATCAAATAAATAAATAAAAATCTTTTAAAAATAATAAAAAATAAAAAATAATTTTTACAATTTTATTCAACTTTAAACTTAATGCTCTAAAATACAAAATATTTAAAAATACCATTTAAAAATATTAAACCCCAAATTTCATATAGTAAATACCCACTGTTAGGCTGTAAAGAAAACCAGATATACTTACGATTAAATGATGACACATATTTATCACCAACAGTAACATATTCCATCTCACTGAAGAGGCCAATCCTCTCCATATCTGTTTTCCCTCCTTCCACAGGCATGGTTCGTTCTTGTGGTGGTATTCTCTATATCGACAACTTCAGAGGGTTCACTATGGTTATTTCTTTTATAGCAAAATCCTACTTTATGTTGAAAAATACAGGAAAAAAAGTTCAGGAGAAAGGCAATTATTAAATTTCAGTCCAAATTACTTGCAGTCTGGGAATTAGCATGCACTGTAAAACAATGGTCCTAAACTATGTGGGGAAAGAATCTACTTTGTGGGACTAAAGGGGAATAATAGCATTCAAAATTATGACCATGAACCCTCGCCTGGATTCTCTGGGTGATGTATCCACAAATAGGAACAAATGTGTATGACAGCATCCGTCACATTGCCATTCATCTGTTGTAAATGATAAAACTGTTACTGTATAGTACAAATACTGTGTAAAAAACATCTTTCTTTTGAGAAGTTCAAAGTATATTTAAAAATCAATTACATAAGGGGAGAGGACACTTTGAGTTTAGAGCAAATGATTTAAACATACTGCGTTCTCTCTCATGTTGGAAATTACAACAGTTTTTCAGAATCCACAACACATACAGTCATTACGTGTTATCCTATAGTTTTTTTCTCAACTTCAAATGAATACAAGAAATGTGTCACTGGCAAAATTAGTTCACAAAGGGGATGGATGGGAAAGGACAATTGTCTAGGCAAGATAAAAATTAAGAACAACAAAACAATGATAATCCACAATGAATTAAGAATATTCGTTAAAGGGCAAACTGCAATTGTGAATTTCCTTCTGCAATACCACATTAAACATTCAAGTATTTATTTAGATGTTTTTTAATTAAACAGGTTCTGGAAAGGAAAACCAAGAGCTAAGGAATATTTGCTTCCATTTCATCATCATATATTTTTAAATATATTTTTATTTATGAATGTATGTATATAAATATATTTATATACATTATTATATTTTTGAATATATATTATTTTTTAAATGGTCTCCACATCTAGTGTGGAGCCCCAAAGGGGGAGCTTGAATGCACTACCCTGGGATCAAGACCTGAGATGACATCAAGAGTAGGTCACTTAGAGTGAGCCACCAGGGCACTCCCATAATATTTTTTTAAGTACCAACTAGATGCACTGGGCTTACATTACTGAATAAAACAGACACGGTTTATGCTTCCCAATTTATAATCCTCGGTAAGACCCTTTTATCTTGAATTTCAGTGACACTAAACACACTTGCCTGTGTGTTCACAAGCAACTGTGGCTCATCTGAGCATCAACATTGCTAACGTGTAATATCAAGGCCGCGAGATTCCGTTTAAACAAAAGCATAAGAAGATATGCTTCCATCCCCCACACACACCCCCATTCCTCCTCTTCCCCTGATCAGGTCTGTTTTAAAAGCAAACGTCAGTCAGTAGGGATGTACAACTTTCATTTGCGGCTTGTTTCAAAGCTCCATCCCACTGGCCAGCCACAAGGGTTTCCTGTGCTGTTTCACGGACTCAAATCCTTTAAATGGTTCGCAAAGTCCGCTATCACCCACATTTGTCACCATGGGGGACCCCACTCCCTGGGGGTCCATCTGACTTCTTTCAATTCTCAGATAAGGCTCGCTGCAGCCACAGGACCATGGCACCTGCTGTTTCGCTTCCTGTGAGTACTTAACCGTGCTGACTCCTTTAGTTCCCCCAGCTAACACGGATCCTTCGGGTTGTGTAGCTCATTGATCACTTCTTTAATTATCTTTCATGTACTTCCCTTCCCAAGCCCTCGCCATGGTTTATCTAACGGGTTATGAGTTCACGTACAACGTGTGGGAACTCTTTAATCAACAGCTGTTTTCCCCCACTCAACTGTTGGCTCCACGAAGGCAGGCACCGGGGAGAGTCTGGTTCTTCCTTACCCCAGTGTTTCCAGCTCTGCGCAGCGCCTGGCACACGACCCAGAGAGCCACAGAGGGGGAAAGGAAAGGAAAGGAAAGGAGTTCCCGCCTTGAATTTTCCCACTGCCTAACTCTTCCTGATCCACATTTACAAAATCGTTCGTTCATTCAACACTTCGCAAACCCCTCCTCTGGGTAGAGCTCGCGGACAGAAGCTAGGAAAACATTTCAAAGGGCATGGATCCTGGCCCCAGGTTGCTTACAACCTAAGCCGGCGAGCACATAATGAAGTGTACCACAAGTTGACTTCGGCAAGGTCCCTTGAGCTTCAAGCGCTGAGGGGACGGGGCGGTGGAAGAGGGGCGGAAAACTGAAGCGACAGGAAAATGATTTCCCATTAAGGAAACAGGCTCTGAGTAGGGACGCATCTAAAGGACAACACCCTGCGGCCCCGAGAACCAAGTCACCTCTCAAAAGGACACCCCGTCCGACAGCCGACACCAGGTCGTCTGAGGTCGGGTCCGCGTTAACTCAGCCGCAGGAGCGACAGGGGCTGCGAGCGACGTCGCGCGAACCCCTGCGGGCGACGCCTCCCTGCGAAGCGCCTCCGCACGCTCCGCACTGCCTATATTGACCGTGGCCGCAGGTGTTTATTGTGACGCGTTGCCTCGGGCACGGGAGAACTCGTTTCTAAGTACGCTACGGAAGGATACGTGGAGAGTGCGAAACACGCGTAAACACTTTAGAGTATGGGTAGAATGAGAAAGAATCAACCAATAGAATTTAGGGGGGAAAGACTTCCGCTCCTCCGCTCCAATATCCATCCGCGAGAAGCCGTGGTAAGGTCCGCCCCGTGACGTTGCTGCGGGGCATGTTGGGAGTTGTAGTTAGTCTTCCCAGGCTCCGCCCCTGGAAACGCCACTTCCGGGCTAGCGTGCAGAGCCCTCGCGCGGACGTCAGCGCCCCTGTCAGAGCCACGTAGCGGACATGGTGAGTACGTGCAGTAGACCCCTGCGTTTCCCTTCAGACTTTCGTAGCTTCCGTGGGTCCAAGCCCTTGAAAGGAGCTGCCCTGGCAGGACCCACGGTAGCAGCTGCGAGCTCGGTGGTCTGGGCCTCCTTTCTCTCGGTCTGTCCCTGCTAGAGCCTGAAGGAAACTGTCCCGCAGAGCCTAGACTATCCCAGCTCAGCCACTGTAAGGACCTTCGCACCCCGCGCCTCCTCCTTGTGGAATCATGTTGAGAACGAGGGATTATTTGGCGTCTTGAAGGCGTCTTGAAGGTATCGGACCTGGGAAAGATAGGAGTCACTTTCTTCAGATACTCTATTCCCTGAACCCCCCGGTTCCCTCCCAGTCTTTCGGCCAGGTCTTCCAAGCCTTTTCCTGGATGTGGTGGTCTTCAAGGATGCTTTTCTTTACATCCTGCGTTTCCTCCCAAGTTATATATCCAGTTTTTAGAAATGTATTCCGAGCTCTAGATCTTTATCTACTAATTGTACCTTCACCTGGATAACTCATATGTATTTCACACTCAGCAAATTCAAAACTGTTTCCACCTCCCCTCATCCCACACCCGCTCTTCCAAATATCCGCGGATCAGGAAATCCACCGTGTTGTGCATGCCAGAAACCTGAAAATCATCCTTGTCGTCTTCCCCTTCTCAACCCCTGAACATCTGATCAATAATCAGATCCTGTGCATGCTACTTCTGCATGGCTGTCAATTGTCATTCACGCCACTCCTACCATCCCTGTCCTTGCCCTCGTCAGATCTCAACTGATCTGTGGTAGTCTTTTAAGTGTTCTTCCAAGTGGATTTCACCAGCCTGTGCCCCTGCTTGCAGTGGGTTCTCCGACCTCCACCCTCAACTTTCCTTTCTAGTTGTTAATACTCGTACCTACTTGCCCTTCTCATCTCAGCCTTAAATGTCATTTCTTCAGAGAGGATCTCAGTTCAGAAGCCTAGGGAGGTTGTGGTCTTTTCACTTGAGATCTCTTGTGAAATCATCACAACAACCCTATGAAATAACGGATTTTTCCTATTTTACAGAAGAGTACAGAAGTACTGAGCGATTAGTTACATTGTGCAAATCATGCAGCGTTAAATATGCTCTTGCCTTTTTCACTTTTGCCTTCAGTATTTTTCATTGTCATTAAATATTTTGTGTTCAAATGGCAACTGTAGAACACTTCCTAGAGCAGTTCCTCAAATGGTTGCCTAATATTTATATGGTAGTGTTGTTCTTTATTTAACTGACTTCTTACTGGTTTAGGTGGTTTCCTTTTTTTTTTTTTTTTTTTTTTTTGCTATGATGAGAACAGTATGGGAAGTGCACAACATTGAAGTTAAATTTTTGCTGAACTTTGATTATTTCCTTAGAACAAATTTCCAGAAGTAGAATTGACTCTCATTTGTATGAAGATGTATTTGTTTTGTTTTACAACGGAATTTTGGTTCTGTTTGTCTTAGGTGATTTCAGAGACTATGGATATACTCTTCAGAATAAGAGGAGGCCTTGATCTAGCTTTTCAGCTAGCTACTGCTAATGGTAAGTCTGACCAAAAAAACTTCTTTTTTATTATAAATTGATGATGAAATATACTGGGATCCTCTTCATTTTGCAAATGAAACTGAGTGAGAGAGAGGATAAACTCAAATCGGGTGGTTAGTGAGTTCTATAAATTGGATTTAAACTTGGGCACTATGTTCCAGCACCACTGCTTGCCTGTGAGGCTTCTCTGTGCAAATTAGAAAAAAATGTCCCCTTTCTTAAAAAAGAAACTTCACTGCCCAGTGGCAGACTGTTGTCACAATAAATATAAATATCCACAATGAGCACAGTGTAAACGAGACATGCAGATTTGAACATTGCAGACTTGCACCTATACATAACCCTGAGTCTCCAGAGCCTACACTCTTAAAAATTATGTTGTTCTTTAATGGTATAAGCATTCTGTGGGAGAAATATCACCAGAGTTTGTATCAGGCAAATTCTAGGATGTCTTCCCATTTCTGACTTGGGCTAAGGCCACAAACAGAGGTAAAGGATATCAGGGGAGGGAGATGAGTTGTGTTTGAAAGGTGTTTCATTTGAGATGCCAGAGTCTATCAAGTGCAGATTCAGATAATTTGAATCTGAAATTTAGGGGAGGGTGGGTGGTCAGGACTGGAGAGAAAGAATATCTCTGAAGGATGATCATTAACACCATGATAAGAAATAAAATCATTCAGGAAAAGTGTGATCAGTGGATCAGAAACCACAGAGAAGTTCAGAAAGATAAGAAATGGAAAGGTCACTAGCTGGCCATCATTTCCTGGCCCCACGGAAATAGGAAGAGAGAGAATGCAGAATGTTCTTTCTGACTCATCCTTTCATGCTAAAAAAAATTGCTCTCAATCTTAGTCCATTCGAATCCCCACTCCCAAATTAATGAAAGTAACTTTGGGGATAAACAGAAGATAATCCAGGAATTGTGTTTGTCTTTTGTAGTGTAGCTGAAAATCTTTAAATTTGGCCTTCTGAAACATATCAAGATGTCTTAAATCTCTCTTGTTAATAAGTAATCTTTTCTCTATCACAACCCCAAGGTATTTATTTAAGATATCAGGGTGATAGTTAAATAAATGTTTTAATCACAAGGTTAAATAGGTTTAGGATTTAAGAATATAAAGTTTAAATAAGTATTTGTGTATTGTCTTTAAATATATCTTCTTGAACCATGAAAATGTTTTACATAATCCAAAGATTATAGTAAATTAAAAAGAAATCCCTGAAATTGAAGTTAGAAAAAGTTTCAGGTTAATGACACATTACACAGAAAAAACTTTGACTTTAGAATACACTACTCTTAGTGGGACAGAGTCCAAAGATAAAAAGAACTTCAAAGAAATTTGAATTTCATTCAACAGTATTACTGCTCTAAGTTATGTGGTATTTTGAAAATAATTGGTATCCTCATATATTAGTGGTGAAATAACTGTTTGGAAAATAATTTGGCAGTTTCTCAAAAGGTTAAACATAGACTTGCCCTGTGACCCAGCAATTCTACTCTAAGTGATCACCTAAGAGAGATATGTGCACACAATAATTTGCACACAAATGTTCGTAGCATTATTCATGATAACCAGAAAGCAGAGAGACAGTCCACTTGTGTATCAGCTTATGAATGGATAAACAAAGAGTATTGTGTCCATTCAAGGATATTATTATTGAGCCATAAAAAGAAATAAAGTACTGATTTATACTACAATATGAATGAGTCTTGAAAGTACTAGACAGGATGAAAGGTAGACATGAAAGGACACATAACGTGTGATTCCATTTATAGGATGTTTCCAGAATAGGCGAATCTATATAGACAGAAAGTAGATTAGTGGTTGCTATGGATCAGTGTTTAAGAGGAATGGGAAATGAGTGCTGATAAGTATAGGGTTCTTTTGGGGTGATGACAGTGTTCTGGAAATAGTGATGGTTATAAACCTTGTCATCTTCTAAAAGCAAGTGAATTGTGTGCATTAAAAGGATGAATTTTATGGTCTGTGAATTTAATCTCAATTTATCAAAAAGAAAGGCATAAATTTTCTTTTTATATGTTCAATTATTGAATCTAGAGAATAGTTATTTGGGGGTCAATTTCCTATATTGTACTTTTGTGTGTTTGGAATGATTCATGTTGAAAAGTTTAAGATTTTTCTTCTTAACCTCTATTTATATTCTTTTAATTTAGAAATATTTATCAAGAAAGCAATAAAACATGTGCTGAGTGACCTGTCAACCAAGCTTTCTTCAAATGCCCTTGTGTTCAGAATTTGCCACAGTTCAGTATATATATGGCCTAATAGTGACGTAAACACCATTCCAGGAGAACTGAGTGATAGCTCTGCTTGTAAGAACATAATGCACTTTATTCAGTGAGTATGTTTGAAAATTGCTAGAAATGTTTTCAAAACGTCATTTCATATTGTAAACATCTTTGTGTATTAAACGTCTAGCTTTGAACAGGAAGAAGATATAAAACGAAAATTTATGAGAAAGAAAGACAAGAAGTTATCAGACATGGTAAGCAAGTTTATAATCCTTGAATTTGGACCAGAGTGATGAGATCTTAGAGGTTATTTAATGCAACTCTCTTATTTTTTACAGATCAGATTGTTGAGGTCCAGAAAGAGTAAATGACTCGTCAGAGGTTATATCTCTGTTCTACATGTTTAAGTTTTTGTTCCATAGTCATACATATCCTAATACGTACATTTTGGGGGATGCTTTCTGTGCTCCCACAAAAATACACAGCTCGAGTATGTTTGCAAATTACTTAAAACTAAATAAAAATGAACCACTCTAAAACATGACAGAGACACATGGTGCTGTGAGATAGTAAATAATAAATGATTTACCTTTCTTCACATTGTTCTTAGTTCTGGTGCTTTTTGAACCAATGTTATTGAGGACCAGCCATTTGCCACAAAGTTGGCAAGTACTGGAGATAAACAATGGAGCTACTTCAAGGGAGGAAGTTTTATGAAGTTAATATGACTACAGTGTTTTTCTAGGCTGTTATGGGAAAATAGGGTGGACATGAGGTTGGAGAGCTAGGCGGAGGCCACTTCAGAAGAAGCAGAACTAAGCCAGCAGCTATGGTAATGGAGAGGAGGGAAGGGATCCAAGAGATATTTAGGGGATAAAATGGATGACACTTGGAAATGAATTGGAAATGGAATGACCATTTTCTTTCTTGGGTTAAGATGGGCAATGGGGAAGATATGAGGTTGGTTTTGGTCACATGGTTTGAGACACCAGTGAGACAACCACATGAGCTGTTACAGAACATACTGTGGGCTGTAGATCAGGTGATTTGAGAATTGCGTGTAGCTGGAGCTTGACATTTTGAGGAGTACGGGTCGATTATTTCCTCAGATAGGATTTGTTTTAGGCTTCCTCATGACTAGATTGAGGTGGTGCACTGTTGATAGGAATACACCTGAAGTAATGTCCTGTCCTCCTCAGCACATCGTATTGAAGAGGCATGTGCTATCAGTTGGCCTCTAGTATTGGTGATGTTAACTCTGATCCCTTACTTCCCATTGTTGTCTGCTCATTTTCTTCTCTGTGAGGGCACTGTTTTTTCCCTTGTAAGTAGTAAGTATCTCATAGTAAGATACCTTGAGGCTATCTTATTCCTCACCAAAGTTTTACCCACCACTTTCAGTGTCAACCAATAATTTTTGTCTGAATCCAACAATAACCTGATGGTTGCAAAGTGATTTTGCTATCATTTCCTTTTATACTTCTTAGATGATATTGTACCATAAGGAGAGCTTTGTTTTTCCCTATTTATTTATTACGTGCATGGAATCATGGGTTCCTATTTTATGCAATGAGTTAGAATCTTTGGATGCTCGCATTTTCCAAGATTTGGCCAATGAACGCTTCTTCAGGCTTGCTCCAATGTCCTTTTGACACTGTATTTTTGAGTACTTCCTACTTCTTCCACAAGATGTTCTAGGCACATTATGTACTGTCCCGGTTCCAGCTCAGGGATCAGGCATTTCTCTAAGGAGCACGCACACATATGCATACGTACCATACATGTATAATAAATATACACAGAGACACACACACACACACCACAATACGTTTCTATTTATCTATGTAAATCATATTTATATTTCCAGTTCTACTTCTGCCTCACTGAACTCATAACTTTTTGCCCCTGAGAAACTTGGCTTCTAGTATACTCAATATTTTGCCAGATTTGTTCAAAACAGAAAACATTCAAACAAAGTACTTTCAGAGTTGTTATTCCATACCACTGTAAAAATCAAACCTACTAACGGAGTTCGGTATCTGTTTATAATTCTCTGTGTCTTTAGGCCAGGGGCTTATAGTTCTAATGTATGCTTAAAAGTTCCTTTGGTGTGTGGTTATTGTATCTTGTTCATTGGATTTTTTTTCACTCTAAGTCTGTACAGAAGTAGAATAATGTATGAATCCTGGAGAACTTGTACCAGCTTTAATACTTATAAACACACGCACACATACACACACGTGCACACACACGAATGTTTAAAAAACATGTTTATCAACAAATGGTCAGTCTGATTTCACATTCATCCCCACTCCCTCTCCACCTCTCTTCAAATTATTTTGGAGCAGAGGAGATTTTTTTTTTAAGATTTGTGCTTTTAAACAGTTTACTATAATACAGCTTTGTATGGCCCTTAAAAAGTCACTTGCCCTTTATACTTAACGTTCAGTATGCTATAAGTTGACTATTACTGTTTCTCTTTATAGCATCGAATAGTAAACATAGATCTTATGCTGGAAATGTCAACCTCTTTGGGAGCTGTCACCCCCATCATTGAAAGAGAAAGCGGAGGACACCACTACGTTAGTATGACTTTACCTGTTGATGTAGTTCTGTCTGTTGCTCCAGAAGAAACATGGGGAAAGTAAGTATTTTGTACTGCTACTGACACATTTATATAAGCCCTCCTCCCCAGAGTAATCAGAGCCCATTTTTAAATATCACGTAGATATATCCAGGATTATTGTTATTTTTACTATGATTTATTCCTTGTTTGTTATTAAACTGAGTCATCTAGTAATTAAATGTTTATTTAGAGGAAATAGGGTAGTGTGCAAAACCTATAAGGTTTTCCCATTACCTACACCGAGGAAATATACAGTATACTTAATTTTGCATAAAGTTAGACTTCATTTAATAATCCTAGTCCAGTGAAGTTTTTTTTACTGTATTTGGGATGTATTAACTCTCCATTCTAATTTATCATAGCCATTATAACTTTCGTTAATGTACTTGAATATTTCCCTCCACAGAGTTCGTAAACTTCTAGTTGATGCAATTCATAATCAACTAACTGACATGGAGAAATGTATTTTGAAGTATATGAAAGGAACATCTATTGTGGTCCCTGAACCACTGCACTTTTTATTGCCAGGGGAAAAAAATCTTGTAACAATTTCATATCCATCAGGAATTCCAGATGGTCAGCTGCAGGCCTATAGAAAGGTAATACCAAGGGGCGCCTGGGTGGCTCAGTCGGCTAAGCATCTGCCTTCAGCTTGGGTCATAATCCCAGCGTCCTGGGGTCAGGCTCCCTGCTCAGCGGGGAGCCTGCTTCTTCCTCTCCCTCTGCTACTTCCCCTGCTTGTGCTTTCTCTTCTCTGTCAAATAAATAAAATCTTTAAAAAAAAAAAAAGAAGGAAGGAAGGAAGAAAGGTAAAGCCAATACACTTATTCTTAGAAAAATTATGACATTCATTCACTTTATATTTACTTAAACATTTCAAATAAATGGAACTTATTTTGTGATTTAATATGAAAGTGGAATCAGACTACTATCTTCACGTGTTATATCTCCACTGTTAACACAGAACTTTTTTTAAAGTGTATTAATGAAAAAATATGCTAAACCATATGTAACACTTTGATTTCAGACACTCAGTGTAGTTCATATGTTCTGTGAAATTTTTCCATAATGAGATACAGAAATGAAAAGATGCTTACATGCCTTGAGCTGCTGCTGAGTGTTTATAAATAAATTCCTTTTCCCGTCCCTTGTTTTCAGATTTGTAGAAGAGACAAGATTACAGTTAGGGAAGGAAAGCTAGGATTTATGCTAATTCTAATTAGGATTTATAGTAATACTTTACACTCCCCCCTACCTCCCAGGGTTATTTGGGTTTTATTAGAGGCAGTTTGAAGAAAGCATGATCAGCATTCAAAGAACTGAAATTTATTAATGAATTGACTAGTTTTGGAGTGCGTATTTTTGATGTGTGGTCTTGCCTGGCGCCCATCCCACTGTACCACAGGAGCATCTCCCTCATCTGTCCCTGGGAGGAGGCAGAGTGCTGTGACCCTCTGCTAAGTCTGTAAGTGCTGGCGGACTTGACCTGCAGAGGCACCAGATGATCCCACTCCAGCTGCGAGAGTACTAAGGAGACACGAGAAAGAAAATGTCAGACTTTACAAAGAAGGGTCACATTTTTATGCAGTTGGGAAAACTTTGCATTTTAAACATGTATGCGTATTTTAATTTTGATGCCATATTGGTTGGCTTCCTACCACCCATCTCTCCTCCAGAATTTAATCACCACCCCTTGTATTTGTTAAGTACTCTAAGCATGACTTTTCAGAATACTTTCACGTAATTCTATCCTTGTTAATTCTAATTTACTCATTTACAAGGCTGTTTCCAAACCAGACTTTAGCCTGGATGTATTTTAGCAGACTGTGTTATAATAAATAAGTAATTTGAAATTATGTTACTTCTCTCACTCTGACAAATTCCAGTCAACCCTTGAATAACACAGGTTTGAACTACAAGAGTCCGCTGGCCCACAGATTATTTTCAGTAAATACGACACAGCACTGTAAATGTACTTTCCCTTCTTTACTATTTTTGTAATAACATTTTCTTTTCTGTAGCTTACTATATTATAAGAATATAGTATATAATACATATACATGTATGTGGATTTTTGACAGTGTGAGGGCTCAGTGCCTCAAATCCGCACATTGTTCAAGGCTCAGCTGCATTTTCATTTTTTCTGTGATCCCTTCCAGTTTCTACGCATATCCCTGGAAAAACATACATAACTCTCCTTTGGGTTTAGTTTAAATCCCACCCTTTTCGACCTCTGTGAATTATATTATAAGGGTGTTTGATAACTTTTATAGCCAATATATATTTATTTTTGTTTTATGTCTTTAGATTGAGTTTGCTTACCAACGAGTAAGGAGTCTAAGTTATTTAACTTTTTTCTCTTCTTTTCTATTGATTCTGATTTCATTTAGGAATTACATGACCTCTTCAATCTGCCTCATGACAGACCGTATTTCAGAAGATCTAATGCTTATCACTTTCCAGATGAGCCATACAAAGATGGTTACATTAGAAATCCACATACTTATCTCAATCCACCTAACATAGAGACTGGTATGGTGAGTTTAATAATTATTTATGGAGTCAACTGATGATCAGTGTCAGTGGTGATTTTTTTGTGTGTATCCAGTAGAAGTTTTAAGGATTGATTCCGAATGTATGTCATCTCTAAAACAAAATTTACCACCCCTTTCTTTTAATAATCATTGCTTAAAATAGCAGTATTCACAATAGTCTGAAAAGGTCAGAAATAGATAGCATGTACCACAGTTTTCCTACTAAAATTCCATTCCCTGATTTATTTAAAGGCGTATCCCCATTTATTTTCACCCTGAGCCTGAGAAATCATGCCAAGTAAAGAGCGTGTTTACCCACAGCACGCCGCAGCCAAGTTTGGTAAGGCCCTGCAGCATTTTCTCTGCAGCAGGTACCTGGGTGCAATTGGCAGCTTCCCACCAACGGAAGCTCCAAGAAGTGTGGCTGGTGGGGCACGAGGAGCAGTTCCTTAAGGGTGCTTGTGGGCTGGGAAGAAAGGGTCCCATGGGCATCCCAGCCCAGGAGTTCTTGCACAGCCCGGCCTCTTAGCAGCCCTGTGACTGGCAGCCTCCTGTCTCAGGCCTCCGCTGCTTCCTTACTGGAATTTTTACTGCTTTCCAGGGGTATGCTTTGATCCGAAGTGGCCTGCTTTTACCCTGTCTTTTCTCATCCTGTTTCCTCATTGTTTCCAGTTGTTTCCTGCCATCCTTAAAGCAGCTCACCGCCCAGCTCATTTCAGCCCCATTCCCGCCCCCGACTGGCACCTCTCACACCCCAGTTCCCCTGAGAGGAAACCTAATTGTCCAGCATGTCCTGGCATTTATTCAGTATCTAATGCGTCTCTGTGCGCTTTGTAAGGAAATCCTACGAATGAAAAGTGAATCCATGATACAGCCTAGAGGACTGCGGGAGCTACTTCTAGTTCTGGCCGTCAGAGGGCGCTGGGGTCAGCAGTTCCGCCCACAGCAGCCATGGACAGCTGGGCTTCCCACGGAGAGACCCTGGCTGGGTGCTTACCCGGCCATGTGGACAGATGAGTCTCTAGTCATCCTGTCGATGATAAAAAATCATTTCATTTATTTTGCTTGTATGGGAGGAAATCCTGGGAGACCTCTTCCTGGTTAAAAACCTTGCTCTGTCACAGTCATAGTGTCACCATAGGCCATACAAAGTGTAGAGTCTCTAACAAACAACATAACTCTTGATGGTTTTCTAGATCATTGCATAAACGTCTTCTCTCAGACTATATTTGGGACTCCTCTAGATAAGGTGGGTGTACTGTGTCATATATTCATTTTTAAATTTTAATAGTTCCTTACAAAGTGCGTAGACATTCAAAACGTACCAAATAAATGTTGATTGATTTTTGACAGTGAAATGGGTTTATTATTTCTATTATGGAGATATAAGAAGCACTTCCATATTTTAAGACATTCAGTATATGATGTTTTATATGTACATATAACATATATATAAATTGTAAAGCACAGTAAGGAGATGAATACCAGAGAGCTCCCTACCCAACTTAAGAACTAGAACATTACCAGCCTATGTGTGTGTTCCTTCCTTTTCCACTCCTCTGCCTCCCCACAGCCTGAAGGGAACTCAGTGTATCCTGAGTTTTATTTGTATCCCTCACTTCCTTTTTTTTTAAATAGTTTCCCCACATAGGTGCATATTTCCTCAACACTTACAGTTTTGCTCATTTTGAGTTTTATAAAAAACTGGGTCATTTTATATTTGGTCTTCTACAACTCGCTCTGGCACTCACTAGTAAGTATCCAAGAGTTAGTCACAGTATTGTGTCGAACTGTGGTTCGACTTCTTTATTGCCATGTAACAAACTATGTATGGTTTGGTCCAGATATTTTGTTATTCAGCCAATCCTGATAGGAAAGTTGCTGTACCTATTTCTTGTTATATATGTGCAATAGCCGTCAACATTTTGCTTCATTTTACCTTCTCTCCCCGCTCCCCCCAACCCAGGCCATTTCAGAGAAAGCCACGGAGAGCCTGGTATTTACCCCTAAACACTATAGCACAAATCTCCAAATAGTAATAGATTTGCATTCATGGGATTAACCTACTTTGGTTATGATTCATTATTACTTTTTGTTCTCTGCTGGATTTCATTTGCTAACATTTTTAAGATTTTTGCATCTGTTCATGAATAAGATTGGCTTCTGAATTTCCTCACATTGTTATTTTTTTTTCCTGTCAATAATATACTGGCTCATTAAAAGAGTTGGGTAGCATTCCCTTTCTTTTTTTTTTTTTTTTTTAATTTTCTAGAGGAGTTTTTATAAGATTGGCATGATCTTTTTTGATCATTTAGTAAAAGTTACCTATAAAATAATCTGTGCTTAGCACTTTCTTTATGAGAACATTTTTAATAAATTTAATTTTATTAATGGTTATAGGACTTTTTTCATATTTCTAAGTTCTCTTTACCTAGGTTTTAGTTTCTCCCATAGTTGTAGTGATGGTTTGTTTTTTTTTTTCATTCTTTGTATCATTTTTATGCCTTCTTTAAAAAAACTTTTGGCTTTGCTGACCCCCTTTATTGTAAATTCTATATTCTGTTTCAATTTTTTGCTCTTAACTTTTTTTTGGCAGGGGGGAATCAATTTTATTTTTTTAACTTAATTTTATTTTTTTCAGTGTTCCAAGATTCATTGTTTATGTACCACACCCAGTGCTCCCTGCAATACATGCCCTTTTCACTTTCTCCTTCCTTTACTTTCTTTGATTAGTTGTTTTTGTTCTCACTTCTTAAGTTGGACATTTTGCATATTGTTTATCTTTTTTATTCTCTAAGTTTCTAAATTTCAAGCAAAGCACTGTTTTCACAGGTTTTAATTTCAAGTATTTTAGTTTTATTCAGTTCTAGGTGTCTTTACACCTCTTTTTTTAAAAAGATTTTATTTATTTATTTGACAGACAGAGATCACAAGTAGGCAGAGAGGCAGGCAGAGAGAGAGGAGGAAGCAGGTTCCCTGCCGAGCAGAGAGCCCGATGTGGGGCTCCATCCCAGGACCCTGGGATCATGACCTGAGCCGAAGGCAGAGGCTTTAACCCACTGAGCCACCTAGGCGCCCCTGATTCATCTTTAATCCATGTGTTATTTCAGAGTTTTTTTTAACATCCAACTATATTAGAATTTATTTATATATGTAGGTACGTATATATGTATTTTTACTGATTTCTGACTCCTTTGCATACTGATCAGAAACAATTTTTATGTGATAAAGATTCTGAAATTTACTGAGACACATTCATTTCCTGAGGATGCTATAGAAGCCACAAATTTGGTAGCTTGAAACTACAAAAATGTATTCTCTCAGTTGTGGAGGCCACAAGTCTGAAATCCCTATCACGAGGCTGAAATCAAGTGTCAGTGGGGCCAGGCGCCCTCCAAGGGCTTTGGGGAGAATCCCTCCTGTGCCTCTTCCAGCTGTGGTGGCTGCCAGCGCTCCTTGGCCACATCGCTCCCATCGGCCTCTGTGCTCATGTTGCTTCCTTCACTCCTCCTGCGTCAGCGTTCCCTCTCTGCTCTCTCACAAGGATACTTGTAGTAGTTGAGTTTCAGGCACACCTTGGTACAAGAAAATTGTACCTTGGTACAAGAAAAAAATTCTCCTATACATTAAGTTCCTTAATTTAATCACAACTTAAGAGCCCGCCTCCCCCCGCCTTTTTTTTTTGCCTTTTGATCCTATAACATAGTCTTCACAGGTTCCAGGGATGAGGAGATAGACGTCATTTGGGGGTCATTTTTTCCACCTACCACAATGTTCTCATTAAAAATTTTCTGCCTGTGCTTGAGAAGAAAATATACTAATTGTTGGATGAGGATTCTGTTTGTCCATGCCTCTTCTTACCTAATTTTTAAAAAAATATTACCAGTTTGTGGGGAAAAAAACACATGAGTATTCTTAACGTTATACTACAAGAAATAAGTTACATGATCTTGGCCTTTATTTAAGGATATTTAAATAGCATACCTGGGCTATAATCAATGGTGGCAGGTTTACAAGACTGGAGGAATATTCTTCATATGTCCCATTATATGGCCCCTTCAGTTATTTATTCCTCCCTTCATCATTTATTCAGTAAACATTTATTGACTATTAACTGTTTGCCTCACCCCCTGTAGAAGCTTGGGTCCAGAAATAAATAAGGCACAGTACCTGCCCTTATTAAACTCACATATTAGTGTGGTTAAGAAGAGATTTAAAAAGTAACAAGTAAGGTGTCAAGCAGTGCTTTGAAAAATAAAAAAATAAAGCAAGCTAGAGTGCCGGCCAGGGCAGGAGGTGGGTGGTGAGGGAGTAAAGCATGCCATTTCCAGGTTGGCTGATGATGGACGGTCTCTGATACTTGAGCAGAGACCTGAACGAAGTAAGAGTGCCGAGCTGCACATTATTTGGGTAGAATGTTCCAGGCAGAGCAAACCATAAGGCTCTGGCCTCAGATTGCCCCTGGAGGATCCGAACCTAAAGCAGAGGAAGCTACAGGGGAAAGTGGTACAAGATGACCTTGGAGAGGAGGCCAGGGAGCAAGATTTGCCAGGCCTAGAGCCCAGGGTAATGACTTTGGACAGTTGCTGAAAAGCCAGGAAAGTATAATGTTCAACTGTAGTTCTCTGAAGGCATTTTTGTAAGGAACTGAAGTAACAGTCTGGCTGTGAGAACAGTAAACTTGGCTTGGATGTCTGTGTAGAGAATGTGCCTCTATCTTAAGTTAGTATGTTACTCTGTTTCTTCTTTTTATACAGACTCATGTGGTCCAGGGCACCTATGGTTATCATCACTATATGCAGGATCGGGTGGATGACAATGGCTGGGGCTGTGCTTACCGATCTCTGCAGACGATCTGCTCTTGGTTCAAACACCAGGGCTACACAGAGAGATCCATTCCAACACACAGGGAGATTCAGCAGGTACGATTCTAATCAACTGTACATTTCATTAGCCCTTAATATGCCAGTAATAATGATTATTACCTCATGGTATAGACTTTTGAAGGGGGAAAAAAACCACACTGGTAATCAGGGAACAGGTCCTAAGTGTAGTTGTTTAATAGCTGTCTTGTGTATGGGTTTTTTGTGTTTTTAAATACACAAAGGCTCTAGTTGATGCCGGGGACAAACCAGCAACGTTTGTTGGATCACGGCAGTGGATTGGATCGATCGAGGTACAGCTCGTACTGAACCAGCTGATTGGTGTAACTTCAAAAATACTCTTTGTCAGGTGAGGACGCCTTAAGAAATTAGTGACATCATTTCAAAGCAAGTTTGTCATTTTATTAGAAAAGAGGAAAATTATATATTCTCCTTTCTCTTCCTCCACACTGTTTTTACCCTCTCCTCCACATTGCCTTACTGCTTTACAAATCTTTTTTTAAACTCTACATTTTTTGGCTATTGAAGACTTTGAGTGGATGAGTAAACTTTGCGATACATATACTTGCATGGTGTTAATTTAGCCGAGAAAAGGAACACTTGGAAATATGTCAGCTGTGACTGAGTTACAGAAAATCAACTTTTTTATCAACTCTTTAAAATATCTTGAAGAGAGAAATTCAGATGTTGATCTATGACTGCCCTTTTTGTGTACCTCCTGCCCTTTTTCTTCTTAAAATGTCAGTAAACTAATAATGTGTCCAAATAATATATTGGTTTTTTCCCAATGCAGTTTAGCCATAATTCTAGCTTGAAAATATGAGCAAATATCAGGTCATGATTGCAGGGTCCTGGGATCGAGTGCTGGGTCAGGCTCCACCCTGGGAAATTCTCTCACTCAGTCTCTCTCTTTAAATACATAAATCTCAAAAAAGTAATAATAAATAAATAAACCTTTAAAAAATAAAAATAAAATATGAGCTAATATTAAATAAGAGGTTATTCCTTATCAGTGAACTTCTGTTTTGAATATTTTTTCTATTACAGTAACCTCAATAGATACATTACCCTCTTTTGTCCATGTGCTTATGTCCCAGAATGTCTGATTTCACAGCTGCAGTTTAGACCACCTGTGGAAACCAGAGCTAACAAATAAATGATCAATTAAATAGTGAAGCACATGATGATTGCAAAGGGAACGTTTTGGCACATCAAAACCTTACACGTTCCTTACTAAGCAAGAGCTTAGAATTAGCTACCAGCTGGGACCTCCAATCCAAAAAAGGATCTCCCTTCACCTGGCCAGCTTTCTCTCTTCTCCAAAGTACAAATTGTATAGGACATTGAAATATTCCCTAAAATAATAGGTCATACTTGAAAACATTTTGCAGTTTTCACTATGGCTTCACAGATCTTGTCTATTTTAGTCCATATCTCCTGTCACGTAGACAGGGCAGGGGTGATGGGTCCCAGTCTAAAGATGAGGAGGGAGACTGAGTTTGATGGTAAGAAGACAAGAACCCAGGACTTAAAACTCATTCTTCTGACATTAAATCCACCCATAAGAGCCCTGTGGTCATCAAGGTGACCACTTTCACTCTTCCCTTAAAAATCCTTCGTTACGCAGTTCCAGAAGCAAAGAAACAAGGTCTTAAGTGGCCTTAAATACTTTGAAAGGTTATGGTGCTTTTGGTTGCTCTCAAGTCAGTTACCTACCACTTAATGTTATTTAAATTTATCATGTTTTTTTTTTTCAATAACCAAAAAAGAAAACAAAACGGTAGAAAACACTGGCTCCCAAACTCCTTATTGGACCTGAGTGTGAGAAATCATTCATCTGATGGAAAATTCTTTCTTTCTAGCCAAGGTTGTGAAATGGCCTCTCGAGGACGGGAGCTGGCTAATCACTTCCAGACTGAAGGAACTCCAGTCATGATCGGTAAGATGTTTGGGACATCTTGGGCTCTTTGGGTAAAGAGAAGAATGTATAAAATTTATTGTTGATATAAATAATGTCACATAAAATCAGTCATTTTTAAACATTTGAAAATTAGCTTTTATACCGTACATACTGACTCTGGATATTTATTGTTCAATTTTCAAGGTGGGAGGAAAGTTATAAAAAAGATGTAATAGCCAGAAGTAAAGGCTGAAAAGAGAAGTGATATAACTGTTGAAGTATTTAAAGAATCAAGAACAGTATATAAAAGAGGCCATGGTCACTCAGTTAAGCCTAGTAAGTCATGGTGTGGTCTCTAATGCAGCTGGCTGTGTAGCATTACACGAATTGCTTCACCTCTCTGGGCTCTATTTGTAAAGAGGATTAGATGAGTTGATCTAAACCTTGATGATTCTGTGGAGAACAAGACTTGATCTGGGATGACAGAAGGCAAGTTAAGACTGGTATGTAAGATATGCAGGCAGACAGATTTCAGCAGAGTATCAGAAGGACCTGAATGGGTAGATGGGCTGTCCCTCTGGGGGGTACTCGGAACAGAGGCCGCATTGCCCATTTGCTGATAGAGGCCTCACAGCAACTGTGATCTTCCGTAGCCCCTTCTAGATCCAATTCCATGGTTATGGCAGTGGAATAGAAACCTGATATGGTTACAAATATGATTGCATCTTTTCTGATTTTAAAGGTAACAATTTTATCTTCTCAGAGTATACTTGACGTGATCTGTAATCTTTTATAATCTAGGCTAGCAATTTTAATGCCATGTCAGATTAACAGGCCAAATAATCTTTTTAAATTGAAATGGACTAGGGAGTTGAGATTAACATATGCCCTCTCATTTTTCTGATTTCCCTTGCTATAGGGGGAGGAGTTTTGGCCCACACAATACTAGGAGTGGCATGGAATGAGATTACAGGGCAGATAAAATTTCTGATTTTAGATCCACATTATACAGGCGCTGAAGATCTACAAGTTATTTTGGAAAAGGTAAGTACCTATTTAACACAGATTTAGATGCAAGGGAAAGAATCCAGATGCAAAGGACAGCAAACTGGCCATTAACAGAACTGCAGACCCAGGGCTGTGATGTACCCTCTCAGCAGGTATTGTAGGCCAGTGAGGACTGTCTGTCTGTCTGCAGAGGGGGGACAAGAGGGAACTAAAATGAATTGCAAAGAACAAAATTCCGGTTAGATTTATGAAGACTTTCCTAGTTATTAAACTTAATAATGGAATAAAGAGCTTAGAAATATATTCTTTTGGACATGATACAGCTTTGCATAAACAAATGTAATGAAATAGAGTGGATTAAATAACCTTTATAATTGTATTATTAACCAAAAATAAGCAGTATGTTGGACATTATGGAGGCTACTTCTAATTTATTTATATATAATTTATTCTCATTCTGTAAAGGATTTGAATTTGATATAAATGTTAGAATATTCGTTGATACTTACAGTACCAGTTAAAGGAGGTGTAAATTTAACTTAATGTATAGGCAACTAATTCTCACATATGAAAACTCAATCTAAAACTTTAGAAGGCAAGGATAGTAAGACATAATTAACTTGAATTTAAGCTTCTGTATTCTTTGCTAAATATATTAAAATTACAAAGAAGGCATACCACCTTTTCAGCCACAAACCCATAAATATATCCTACTGTTACTCACTACCCTTCATTTTTCTCATATTGTCACTTAAGTCAACATCATTAATACCTTATAAAAAGCTTTCTCTGAACTTTGAAGTTGTAGTTTAATTAGGTCATTTTTTTAAAAGCCCAGTTGGAAAGTCACTGGTGAGTCACTTTCAGAAGTTAAACAGAACGTAACTGCATGAAGTTACCAAAGCCCTGGGAATGAGGGGTTTAGTAGTCAGGAGCTTAGTGTGTGTGTAGCTGAATTCTTTTATAACCCAGTTTAGTAAAATATTTTGCCAGTGATAAGACTATAAATACAACAGGAGATAAATGTGTCCTGCTTTTATCCTTCAAGGCATTTGGACTTGTAAATCTGAAACGTTTCCTGCTGCACACCAAAGTGGGAGCAGTGCTTCCTCCTTCCACAGCCAAGTGTTGGCGCACTCGGCATGACGTGTGTGTGTGTGTGTGTGTGTGTGTGTGTGTGTGTCTGTGCTGCCCACTGCTTGGAGCAGTAGGGGTATTAAAAAAGGTCTTTAAGGAGCTCTTAGTCGAGAGTAGAAGAAAAAAGAGATCCAAAAACTATTCCCAACAAAAAAAAAATACGGTTATCTAACGTAGAGTTTGCAAGGCTGATCCATTAGAGGGGTCCCTTAGAGCCGGTGGAAGGACCGCGGGCCACGTTCCCAGAACCACAGCGGTTCCGACAGGATCCAAGCGTGCGCAGGGGTGTGGCTGGAGGGATAGGCAGGGGTGAAACTGAGCCGGGCAGAGCAGCAGAGCATTCAGTTTTCATCTTAGAGGCAGTGAGAAGCGGTCATTATTTTAATTAGAAGTATGATACAGATAATAAAGTTACTTCTTTCTGGCTGGTTTGAGGAACTTTGCAGTAGATGGAATTGTCTAGATAGGCTTTCCCGAAGCAGTTGAATAAGGCGTTGTCCCTGATTACTTTCTCTGAGGCTCCTGCTGTTCTTTTTTGCTGACTAGATTTCTGTAGAATTTTCAATTATAGAAAACCCTCTGCCCTTTTAGCACGTGTAAGGAGCCCTGAAGCCAAGGCCTGACCTTGTGAGAGTCAACACTACTCTCACTCGAGAATAGAGAGCAGGGTCTTAGAGTCTGGGCTGCTGTAACAGAACACCATCGCCCAGTTGGCTTATGAACAACAGAAATGGGTTCCTCGCCTTTCTGAAGGTGGCGAAATGCGAGACGCCCGCAGGTTAGGTCTGGCGAGCCCAGCTTACCAGCTCACAGCAGCAGTCTCTTCACGGGGTCTGCAGCGTGGAAGGCATGGGGGACCTTTCTGGGGCCTCCTTAATGAAGCACTAACCCCATGCATGAGTTCCACTCTCAACCTACTCACCTCCCGGAGGCCCCACCTCCACATACCGGCACCTTGGGAACATGAGTTTTGGAAGGACACAAACATTCAGCCTAGCAAGGACTGTAGGGAAAGTTCTGCCTCTGCCTGACCTCCCTTCACCCTCCTGTGGGACCTTCCTGTTTGAAGTTCCCAGACTAGTCACCTCAAAGAAAAAGACCATACTCCCCTGTCTACCCCCATCAGTTTCTGGTTTGGGCACCCTCTCTACCCACTTGTCTTTACAATGATTTGAGTCTGGTTACCTGGAAAAGGCTGAAAAGATGAAAACAGAGTAAAAGCCTTTATTCATCATTAAGAAAACAGATTTTAGGACATTAAATTTTAGAAAAGGTTTGGCTAAAAAAGGTTATTTACATAAAGAAACAGTTCTCAAAGACAAAAAAAAAGATTTTTTTTGCAGTTACCTGGGAGTGGGAAAATAGGATGGAGGATTTTTTTTTTTTTTACTTTCATTGAACTTTTAGAATGTAGATCTAATTTTTGCAGTCCAAGAAAGAAAAATGCAAACATTAAAGAGTTCCTCTAAACCCTCCAACCTCCACACCAAAAAATAGAGCTAAGACACTATTTTCTGTAGAAACCATGAGCTTTAGCCCTAGGTCACTGCCAGGATACAGAGCAGCAGCTTCCGAGTTAGGCTAAGGAATGAGACCACACTACTTGTCACACACCCAGTGGTATTTATTTTAAGAGTTCTAGCTGGCCAACTCCTGAGTATTTTGCCAGCAAAGCGTTTCATTTCAGAATGATGTCACTCAGACTAGTCATTAGCTGGGTCTTTAAGAAAATAGATCAATGGCCCTAGACGAAATTTGATGTACTTTTGGATTCACAGATTTTGTCCAAAAGTAATTTTCTCTGCTGGGGAAAATAATGGAAAAGAATGGAAAGTGGAAGCGTAATAGCCTGAGGACAGTGAAGGGCAATTCAAGAGGCCGGCAGATTTCTCCCTGCCACTTTCCTTGTAGCTAAGAAGCACAGCCTGGTCCCTAAGACGGCCTTCAGTGGCCTACCAAGAAAAAACAGATCGCCAATTCTCCTATCACCTGCTGCTGACTGCCAGAATTATAAAACTTAGACTCAATAAAAATGTGATTATTTGGAGTAACAGTTACCATAAGGGAACTTTATCTTTTCTATGATTAACTACTGTAGAATTTAATTTTTTTTTAACTCTATCTGAAATGGACACAAGTATGTTACTTTTCTGTGCTTTATAGGAGTTCAGATCTTTGAGTTTTGTAAGTTAGAGTCGTATTCCGGGATTCAGCTGACAGAACCGGACTGTAAAATGTTACAACTTTGATCATGTAATCCTATCATTTAGTAAAAGGTTTTCCTTTCCCTTCTCCCAAATCTAGGGCTGGTGTGGATGGAAGGGCCCAGACTTTTGGAACAAAGATGCTTATTATAATTTATGTCTTCCTCAGCGACCAAATATTTTTTAAAATATCTTGGACTCGAAGACTGTAGTAAAGTTGTATTATAAATTTGTTAATAAAGACTAAGTTTAACTTCAAATAAAATCCTGGGTGTGGTCTGATGGTTTAAACTACAATTTTAAAAAAATAAAAAATAAACTACAATTTTTTTCAAAGGCTGTTAGATACTACACAAACAGAAGTTTATTCTTTAGACATTCTTCTTTAGTAACTTAAAAGACAAGGCAGGCACAACCGAAATATTACAGGCATGTAAAAACATGTATTCTGAACTGTTATCTTCACTTAGAAGAAAGTTTTCCTCCTTCTTAGAAGGAGCTGAGATACACACCAGGTGAGCCAAAAGCCATAGCTTGTAGCTGAGCAGTAGATCTGCACGGAGTGAAGGCCTTCTTCAAACCTTTCAGAACCAACGTGAATCTGTGGTTAAACATAGTGACATTAGAAACTTTTTAAAAAAGGTTTTCTCCCCAGCCTTCCATCATGCAGGGTGATTTCTGGGCTCCAGAATCTAGCAGTAGTTACTATAACCAGTATTAACATGTGTTCACAAAAAGAAAAAGACACACTAGAAATAAGACTGCCAAGACTGAAATAATTAACTGTGCCGAATAAGCAATCCCTGAGGGAGGAGGAAAACAGAACTGAGTTACTCACCAACACTTCCTTTTTCCAGTCGTATTTTCTACACTTCCGAAGCTTCGTTTCTGTCTGAGCACTGGAACACAATCATCTCTATCGGATCGGTCACTTGATTTTATTGTCTGCATACATTTAATTGTTGTAAGAAATTTGGCACATTCTAGAAATCCATAGGCCCAAGCAAGATCTTCAGCTGTCTGTCCATTCTTATTACATAAACTGAATTTAAGACAAAAACTGAGTTACATAAAAACTGACAACTGTTTAGCCTTTTTCATATATCCTTTTACAAAAGAGCTTTGGGTTCATACAAATCTTGGTTTCAGAACAGGAGTGGTAAAGGAATCAGAGAAATTCCAATATTCCCTGCTACTGCATCCTGAGTGGCTAGCAGAGTTCAGCACACAGTGGACCTTCCATTTTTGAGTGAATGAAAGTGTTCTGTGCTCCATATAGTAAGTAATACTCCAAGGAAGTCAATGAGAACTTTTATTGAAGGGATTATCCCAAACCAAAACTAAGATGTAATGTTGTCACAACAGATGAACAGAATTGCACCTCTGCTAAGGACCCATTTTTTTACTTAAATTTAATAGTATTCGGTATCATTAACAGCCTAAGTTAACATTTAAATGATAATCTAAATTGTCAATTAGGCAAGCATCGTTTTTAAAAGCACATGTAATTAAGCTTCAAGGATCTGATTAGCTCAATCCAAGAAAATACGAAATTTTTGAAGTCACTGATTTTATACTCACTCAATTTGGGCATCCCTGGCTACAAGCAGGCTAAGGCATTCCAGACTTCCAACTTTTGCTGCCTTGTGTAGCGGAGCCTCTCCAAAGACATCCTTAAAGATAAGATAGCACATTTTAGTTTCTCCCAAAACCATTTCTGTGGAAGTTGGTAGGGAAAGTCAAATTACTGTTAAAGAGAACCGGTTAGAACTACATTGTACTAAATTTTTAAAATTTGTCTTTTTTTTTAAATAAAGTTCACCTGGTGTTCTATTAAGTACAAAGTTTTCATCAATAAAAACACAACTACCTACATTAAAATTTAGGTGTATAAAAGCAGAGTAGAATATTATAAAGGTAAAACAATTTAAATTCACCCTATTTTAATATTCAATGGGCGATGCAGACTACCATAAAACAGTTCTGTAGAAAACTGTAATAGTTGTGAGCTTGCCTCACAACTGTTATTTATTATTTTTTTTAAGCACAACTGTTATTTAAGTAATTTCTGTACTGAGACTTTTCATCTGGTAATGTAGCAACTGTTCCTTTTGAAATGAACTGCAGACCTGCGTGCGCTGCGCAGGATCCCAGCCAGGAGCCACAGAGTTGGCTGACTAGCCCTTGAAACGTGGCCAGACTAAACTGAAATGCGCTGTAAACGTAAAATACACGCCAGACTGAGATGTCTGAAAAGACAATGGAAAAATCTAAGTCCCGTTTTGTGTTGATTACATATTGAAATATTGAGGTCATTGGTGTTGAACCACAGAATTAACTTCACGTGTCATCTTATTAATGCGGCTCCTAGAAAATTTTACATTCCTTGAGTGCCTCACTTTATATTTCTATCAGACATCTCGCAATAGTCACATTTGTAACAAGTGAAAACAATATTCTGGCGTCTGCGAAACGTTTGTGTGGATCTTGGCGGGGGAGGGGGGCGGTCCACAGCAACAATCAGTAACCTAGTTACCTGCTGGTTGAGGTCAGCGCCAGTTTGCAGCTGCCACAGAAGCAAGCAAGCCAGGCCCCCACCTGCGGCCAAATGGACAGGCGACTGCTCGCAGGGATCCGGGGGTGCGTTGACCGAGGCCCCGGCCTCCAGCAGATGCTTCAGACTATCCACCTGCGGGAGGAGAACAGCAGCTCCAGCACCCCTCTTGCCTTTATCCCGCCCCGCGCTCTCCCGCTGTCGGAAATCTTACCCCACGCCCCAAATCTGACTCTGAAGGGGGTTGACTCGGCAGCGCTCAGTGGTCAGTCCCCCTCGCTAGTGCTCCCGAGCTGACACACACCCGGGGAAGCTAAGCCTGCAGGACGGAAGGCGCCCGCGTCTCACCTCTGGGTTGCAATCAAGCAACAGCATCTTCCGCCTACAGCCGAAGACAGGACGTCTGGGGAACGCAGAGCGGCGGGCCAGGCGCCGCGGACTGGCAGGTAAGAGTGCGCAGCCTACCCGAGTGCGGGAGAACTTAGATTGCCGGGGCCAGGGGGCCGGCCTCTCGCCGCAGCGCCCCAGCCCCGGCCGCGCCCCAGGAGCCTCACCCCAGCTGCGGGGCGTTTCTCCTCCCTGCGGGAGCAGCACGTACACAAACACAGCCACGCGCCACCGCCAGGCCAGCTGGCGGGGAAGGCGCGGGTTCGCCCGCCGATTGGCCAGCCGGGAGGCGCCAGGTCCGCCCACCCCGGGGCGGGGCCCTAAAGAGCCCCCGCGGATTCTCAGTGCGCTTGCGCCGCCGGGAAGGCAGGGCGGCGGGACTCCCGCGGCAGCCATGAGGCTTGCTGCGTTTGGCACGTCTCACACTAGCGTGCCCAGCCCTTTGGTCCCTATGGAGAAGCAGGAGTCGCGGGCGAGGGTTCTCGTTTCTGCGAGCACGCACGTAACCAGGAAACGAGAGAATTCTGGCAACCACCTCTGGAAGCCGCTGTGCGTGGTGCTGGCGCCGTGTCCTCCGCCCTCCAGCTCCGGAGGAAGGATGAGAGTTCCTTTGGCGTCACGTTCAAAATCTCACCCGCGCCCCCCGCTCTCCTCTGTCACCGACACCCTGGACTTTTAGGGAGGAGGGCGCGAGCTGCGGGGGCGGAGGGGCGGCTGAGGGAGCTGAGGTGATGGGTTTTACCACAGGGACTGCTTTGACACCCACCCCCCCAACCTAAACGATTTCTCAGACCCGGCCCTTTCGGTGACACCGCGCCCATACTGGGAAATCCGGTAAAAACCAGCCAACCATTGTCCTGGGTCCCCTCTTGGGGACAGGTTAAAGCACCCCTGGGCTCGTCGCCTGGGAAAGGGTTGAGAGCCCAGGCTGTTAACCTTGAGCTTGCATAAAGGACGAGGACGCTCAGCCCGAACCCTCACTGTGGCGACGGGGGGAGGGTGTTCAAGGAAAGTCGGAGGGACGCAGGCCAAGGACGTTTGTGACCCAAAAGGCTCTTCCCCGGCGGGGCCGCCGGTCCCTCGCTACCGCTCGGAGGGGAAAGCGGGGGAGGGGGCCGTGGCTCGGCGGGGCGGGGGGGCGGGGGGGGGGGGGGGGGGGGGCGGGTTCCTTCTGTCCGGCTCGAGGCCTTCCTTTCCGGGCGACTTGAGAAACAGACTTCCTGCCTTCAAGTTGTAGCCATCCCCACATCCATCGTCTCTTGACCGTCTTTACCTAAATGCGCTTTTCGGATGAGTCTTGCCAGAAACTAAAGCTGCAGCCGTATATTCATTTTCCTTAACATCCTCGGTGATTTCCTTCTTCCTGCTGATACCCGTGAGAGCAAACTGATGAGGAAACTTTATTCTTATGCTCTTGGAGCACGAGCTCAGTGAGCGGCCTTTGAGTTCTCATTTTGGTTGCCGCATCTCGTTTATTTTGTAATAAGAGCCATAAAATAATTTTACGATAATTTATTATACACTGACCCAAAGGGTAGTTTTCCACATTCATGTATATACCTGAACATAAGTGTGTGTGTGTGTGTGTGTGTGTGTAGATATCTATGTTCAAACGCGTAGAATCGTGCTTGTGTTCTATATTTTTTATATTGAAACTATTCAAAATATGTTTTTGATATTTGAAGAATGTCAGAGATCTGTGAGAACACATGATAACTACCAATTTCCCTTTTCTCGTGTTGATCAGTTATGTGAGTACTGTTTTTTAAAGCAAATAAATAGGCTTCAGGTTCACACAGATGAAAATGAATGTAAGAATTTATTTTCAGGAATTTTTAAATGATACAAGGGATTATCAGAGAAGTCCTTAGCGTTCTAACCATAAATTGCAGTTAACATGTGCAATGGGATATCCGTGTGATGAATATGCTTCCATATTATATCCTTTTTATTTAAAACAGGATTCTATTCAGCAAGTGTTAAGTCTGATAATTAGTGTTAACTTCTTGTTACATACATGAGTTTGACAAGGAAAAGGAATTTTGTGAATAGTTGTTAAAGCTTTTCTCCTTTTAATCACTTCCTACTTGTCCATCGCTCACAATGTTTCAGAAAAATTGTCTCAGTTAAGTATCTGGTTTACTGTTAGTAATGGGCCTAAAAGCTTTCTAAAAATGAATAAAGCTTGTGGAGCACAAAATACACCGAAGAAATACATTTGGGGAAGAAATACTATCTTACCAGCAAGCAGCTGGAGTTATTATGGAACATGTAGCAAATGGGACCAGTTTTCTAAAGAGAAAAATGATCTAAGATGCATATTCAACAGGCACTCTTCCAAGCAATGTTAATTCTATTTATGTTTAATTTGCTGGTAAATGTGTTTCCAGAAAGAGGATTTAGAGTGAATGTTTTACAAAAAAAGTTGGATGATGACCAAATGACCAAACGAATGAATGAAAGATGTGTGGACGAGGAAGGGCGAGTAGGAGGAGTTTGCCAGGTAGTCCATGAAGCAAAGAGTATTTCTAAGGAGTATAAAGTATCTTCCAGTGTTAAGAAAACTATGCAATTCAGTCTAGCCGCAGAATATGATACACAGGGATGTAAGATAAAGATTTACAAATAAATTAAATGACCACTAATGTCTATTCCAATTTTTAAAATAAATTTTCATTGAGCACTTGGCTATGCCCCAAGATTAATACAGATAGGTATTATTATCTGCTCCACTTTACAGGAAAGGAAATTGAAGCTTAGGGAGGTTCAATAACTTATCTGAGGTGCTATCATTATTAAGGGGTGGAGCTGGCACTCAGACCATTTGATTCCACAGACCACATTCTTATATCTAAATTTTAAAGAATTTTGGTCATCGTTGGTAGATTTGGAGTTACTAAGAGTAACGCCTTTTTTTTTTTTTTAAGGTTTTATTCACTTATTTGACAGAGCACAAGCAGGCAGAGCAGCAGGCAGAAGGGGAGAAGGAGACACAGACTCCCCAAGCAAAAAGCCCTACATGGGGCTTGATCCCCAGGGTCCTGGGATCATGAGGGGAGTGAAGGCAGACACTTAACCATCTGAGCCACCCAGGCGCCCCTAAGACTGACTTCTTCAAAGCAAAAGAAAGTCCTCAGAGACTATTATTACAATCCATAGAAAAACAACCCTTTCATTCAGTGAAACATATAATGAAGTTGAATCACTAAGTTGTAAACTCTAAACTAATGTAACATCAACTATATTCAAATAAGATTTTAAGGAGTATTTGCCAAAAACAAATTAAAAAAAACAATAGAGGAAATTAGGGCAATTCTCTGTACTATCTTTGCAGTTTTCTGTAAATCCCAGATTATTCTAAAATATAAAGTTTATTTTTAAAAAGAGGACTTGAGGCAACTTAAAATTAAACCATTATGTATTTTTTTTCTTTTTCTTTCTGTAGACCATGGCTATTAAAGTTTTTGTGTATTCAAGTATTTAGTTTCACCTTTAAGTAACTCTCTTTCCAAATGCAGTAATGATAGACAATACCTAAAACCTTATGAAGCTAGTTTTAATCAAAAGCACACAAAAAAATACACAAAGTTTTCAAAACCAAACACTACTTGTTTTTTGTTCTGATTGACCAATACACTTCAGTTCCCCTGCAAAACACATTGCCCATTGCCTTGATCACTGTGAGATCTTATCAGGCTGTTTCTAGAATGCCCAGTTACTTGGGCTCACATCACTTTGAATTTTTTCCACATAAAGATCATTTTTAACATCTAATATAATTAAATATTACATAACTGGTGAAATAGGAACAATGAGAGCTGTGATTTTTAAGAAAACTAAACTCAATGCTTTCCAAAATCAAGTCTCTAAGAAGAATGTTCTCCAAGTAGGGGAGGATAAGTCAACCGTAAAAGATGAGAAATAGCTCTACATTCAGACTGTTTCATGGACATCTTTAAACTCATACTCCAAAGGAACATAAAATGGAATTCATATGCCTATGGTTTATGAAAAATAAACTCTCAACATTCAACCTCTGTTAAAGAAATTGCTTCTGACCCTAGATGAGAAGATTGGAAAGTGACATATATTTACATGTTATAAGTTAAAAATGCATATGGTGTGATCATATATTCTTTATTAATTTTTGTATCGATTCTTATTTAACTGACCAAACACAATAAATGCTGGCAGTAAAAGTGTTTATTGAGCAACGTATTTCTTTCATTTAAGCAATATAGAGTCGCTGAATAGAATGCATTATATTTTTTCAAATTTTTATTTAAATAAAAATTTATTTTTAAATTTTAAATTTTATTTAAATCCATTCAGCTAACGTGTAGTTTAGTATTGGTTTCAGGAGTAGAATTTAGTGATTCATCACTTACATATAACACCCAGGGCTCATCATAGCAAGTGCCCTTATTTACCTTTGGATGTTGAGTGACTCCCCTCAGAAAAGACTCTGGTAACCGTAACTGGCCAAAAATGGTTTCCACACAGCAGGAACAAGACAGGTGAGGCATGGGAATCTCACGTAACTACCAAGATTTTTAACAAATCAGTCTTTCCTCGATTGGTTTATTTGCTCACAGAAAACATGGTAAATTGGAGAAAAAAAGCTACAAGGCTCTTCCACACAGTGCTTATCTGGTAGTAAAAGACATCCTGCCTTTTCCCACACTTTTTTTTCCCCCTCATTTCAGGGCATAAAAAGGAAGGGTGTGAAAAAAAAGCACTTTTGTTTTAAATAAACAATTAGACCTAACTGGAAGAGGGGGGTGAATAAAAAAACAGAAGGCCACTGCCTGATTCAATATTGTCTTGGGAGATCTCTGTAATGTTCATAATATTCTTTTCTAAGTTTCCATGTATGTGTACAGGTTATGCTTTCAGTTAATATATGAACACTACTATTCTTTTAATGACTATTAGGCAACAGTAATGAAAGGAACAATAACAATAAACACAGGCCTTTGCATTTTTGCCCAGGACACTTATTTAACTCTATTTTCATGGGCACCAATAACGTTGTTTATCTACTATGATAGGAATTTCAGTGTTGTACA